CACCAGTGTCGGAAAGTTTGCCCTAAATATCATTGATCATGTTGTGCTGTAAGTCCTCATATATCAGTCCTAGAACATGAGCAAGCTTTCTAATTGTATTCCTGCTGCTATTTTCATCATCAAGGCCGAGTCTCAGAGGAAACAAAGTCGCCGTGGTATGTTCCGCAAGAAGCAACTCAACTAAAGCTGAAGGTACCACGAACCGGTGAGTCATACCAGTTGATCTTGAAATTATTCCTGCGCAAAAATCCGATCACCACGTCCTTCACCCTTTTTTCCCCTTTGTCTTCCATCTATCTCTCATTTACTCATTGATAATGGTCAAATAGACTCCTGCGAGCAGCCCGTGATGCCGAAAACGCCCAGTCGCACGAGTATGTTTCCTTGGTGGAGGCAGTTCGGCTCGAGCACGTCCAGGTCGTTGAGATTCAGATAAAATCTGAAACCCTCAGGACTCAGTTAATTTCAGAGATCAATGGCGAGTGTGAAAGGGTCCTGAAGGTCCTAGAGGCGGCGCAAACGCTCGGGGAGATAAGTGCGCGTTGTGTGGACAAAGTCATCAGTACAGGAGAGAAACTTAGCTGCCGGCTGATGGCTGCCTTTCTACAAGACCGTGGCGTAGATTCGCAATATGTGGATCTGGCGGAAGTGATTGATTTCCCTATCGGGAGTCAAGGTCTCGACCAGGACTTCTATAACAATCTTGCTACAGTTCTCGGCAGAAAGATCAGGGATTGCGAAGGAAGGGTGCCGGTGGTCACTGGCTTCTTCGGGACTGTGCCTGGGGGTCTTCTTGATCAAATTGGTCGTGGTTACACAGATCTCTGCGCCGCGCTTGTCGCAGTCGGAGTCCATGCCAAAGAACTACAGGTGTGGAAGGAGGTTGACGGGATTTTCACCGCTGATCCTCGCAAAGTCCCAACCGCGCGTCTGCTGCCAGCCATCACACCCGCTGAGGCAGCTGAATTGACCTTTTACGGCTCCGAAGTAATCCATCCTTTCACCATGGAGCAAGTCATCCGCGCTAGGATTCCCATTCGTATAAAGAACGTTATGAATCCAAAGGGTGATGGGACTGTGATATTCCCCGACTCGACATACGAACTTGAAAGAACAACCCCGGGCCATGATCCCAGGCTTTTCCGTACGCGAAGCCCCAGTCTCATGCAGAGGCCGAAGCGACCGACAGCTGTCACAATAAAACATAAAATACTCGTCATCAATGTGCATTCAAACAAGCGCTCGCTTTCCCACGGCTTTTTTGCTGGGATATTCTCTGTTCTTGACCGCTGGAGACTCTCGATTGATTTGATATCTACAAGTGAGGTCCATGTGTCAATGGCCCTTCACTCAGAGATGCCTCTCCTCAATGGTGTTGGTAGAGACGAGTATCAGATCATCGATGAGGATCTGAAAGGCGCGTTGAATGACTTGCAGAAATATGGTACAGTCGATATTATTCCAGAGATGGCCATTCTCAGCCTGGTTGGGAAGCAAATGAAGAACATGATTGGAGTTGCGGGGCGCATGTTTACCACCCTTGGTGAGAATAATGTTAATATCGAAATGATATCGCAGGGTAAGTGTCCTTATTTGGTGCTTCTGGATTAGACTTCATTTGAAGCCTCCGGCTAACTGTATGCATCATGCTTTAGGTGCGAGCGAAATAAACATCTCATGTGTCATTGAAGAAAGGGACGCAGACCGTGCTCTCAATATCATTCACACCAGCATGTTTACTTTCCTTGACTGACGACGTGTTTTCTTTGCCTAGCGCTTCTTCTTTCCCAGGGTCAGTGTTGCAGGATCTTCTAGTACTCCGAGAGAGCGACTGTCAGCTCCCTGAGAGGCCAAAAAGTCAAACTAATGGTTTCATGATGCAACGGGAAAAGCAACTCGAACATGTCTATATTTATTCACGCGGTTGTATTGGTATTCCGTGCTTTGTTACTTGGAGTTGGTGTTAATATGCCTTGATCGCCAATGTTGCCTTAACATTCTCCTGCTTTGGGATAGATACTCCATGTTTTAGTGTCTAGCTCTTCCCTCTTCACCCTGTCTTGTCTTTGCATGCAGCCTTCATTCTCTTCAATTTCCTTGGTTTCCTTTCCAGTTAAGATCACTGTGTTCGCTTTTGCAGATAGATGGGTTTGTGCTCTTTTATGACTACTGTAGAATTGAATATTCATGACTGTATATAGATTAAGAGAGGAGCATCAATTAGATCTATCTCCTGGGGGCTTTCTTCTGTAATTGGAGTCTTATGAGCAGAATTGAGGACATATCTATACTGACTTTGCACTTTATACTGACTGTATAAATCGTTGGTTCACATGCACCCGTTCAATTGGCAGCCAGGTTCTTGTTCTCTGTAAATTGGTCAGCTATAGTACCTAGAACTCTCTGTAAGATCCGAGTTGCGGGGAGTCTGAATAACTGGGCAATACGATTTGTACATTTACTTCGAACATCATAGAGTACTTATGCGAAGATATGATCTTGTTTTGGTTGGGTGACGGAGCGTAGGGGGATAGTAGTGGTCAAAAGAGGCTTGCTCCTTGGTAGTGACTCGACCTCCTTCATTTTTTCGAAGGACGGGCAATTCCTGGGCTAACTCAATGTAAGTATGGCCTGGCCTTTAATAACACTAGTTTCAGAAGGTTTAATGATGATGCTGGGAACCCTCAAACCAATCTAGCTACCAAGCATACCTTGCTCTCTGTCTTACACATATTCACACACACACACATATATATATGTACACACATAACCCTAAGGCTGGGCTAAAGGCACATTATTATCTATATATATAGATAGATATTATTATATCAGTCAGTGCCTGGCATTGTAAATATGGGAGGTTAATAATATATAGATATTAAGAAAAATAAAAATTTATATAGTATTAGCCTATCCTTACTTTTGGGATATTAGTTTGTGTGTGAATATAACACCAGTCTTTTCATTAATATATTCATTGTTTATCTATTATTTCTAGCCCACGCCGTAGTGAAGTTCGCAGAAGGTGCACTTTATAATCATGGATAAATATAATCAAATTAAACACTAAATATTCTGACTTGCAATTTCCTATGGAGGAGGGACATTCTGTCTTTCTTGATTATAGAAGATGAAGCTGACATTAATTTAAATTAAAATGCAAATAGTATTACAAACAATTACTCTGTATTGGGCTACATAATACACTTGAGCCACTCTAGAATCCAGGTAGAACCGTCTCCTCCGTACCAAATTGCCTACACCCAACCCCTTCCCCGGGGCCCCAGCCCTTTCCCCCCCTTCTCCTTAGTTAATATTGATGGAGTCCACTGCCCATGCTCTACTAGCTAATCAACATTGTCATACCTAAGGTAGGCCCTAGATAGTATCTAGCATCTAGCTACGATCTACCTTCCTCCGTTTTACAATGCCATAGGCCCACAATGGCTGGAACGGTGGAGGCGGATTCTTCATGTAGACACTAAGGTTATAAGCTACCTAGAGTGACTAGACTACTGCCCGGATGCGGAGTAGCTCGAGGGACTCTAAGCAGTTGAGGGATAGTACCAGTAGATAGTAACTGGATATAGAATGCTACCAATTGGAGTCTTAACTCCGAAATTTGGAAACTGTACGGAGTGCCATTGTTGCCTACTCTGTGGCCGGGAAGAGCGAGGTAAGGAAGGAACAAAGAAGTCACAGCCAAAAGGGAGGGAAAGGAGCGTAGAGGCAGGATTTCAGGCGCAAGGGGGCGGCGAGAGAGTTGAATCCAGATTCTAAAGGCAAGGTACAAGTAGGTAGGTCATACTCAATAGTATAACGAAGTGTTGTATATACTAGTAGTACCAGTACTAGTACTAGCAGCAGCAGCAGCAGCAGCAATTGAGGCCGTAAGTATTAGATAAGTAGAGGATAATGTATATACCTAAGTGGCCTGGAAAGTCATAGAAGTGAAACCCCCCGTGCCTTGTCGTACCTACATAGTAACCTACCTAGTACTTATTTTAAACTACCTACCTAGGTGTACATATGTATTTATATGAGGGGTGCACATCATCATCTCAAGGTAAAGTGACGATAAATGGTGCCATCATATGATACGAAGTACAGGGCACTTAAGTGGATAGCAAGATACCTACCTAATACTTTGTAACTGTTATTCTCTTCAAGAGTCAACCTAAGGATATAAGAGGCGCCTGCTCTGGCTTCTGTTTCCTGTCCTCCGTTTAGGAGGCCTGACGCGTGACGCGGACGCGTCATACCATACCATACCACCCCGCGGGTTCCGCGACAGTCAACATCCCAGAAGTGATGCACATATCCTTCCTTCCATTCCACAGTCGACTAATTATAACAAGGGAATAGTCAACCATCTTCATTTACGCCCCACCTTACCTGGGCCGGACACAGGCCTGCCAGTTAACGAACCAGACAGGGATCTGATATAGAGTCGAGCCCCGTCTTCCCAACCCTCTCTCCTCCCTGCCCACTTGGATCCGTTTCTCTTCCGTCGCTTGAATTGTCTTCAGGGCCCAAGAAACGCCTTCAACCACTTTCTTACTTGATCAGACGTGCTCAAAAGATTTATCTGCGCTCTACAACACCTCTCGAAGCCATCTTTCAAACCCTTTGTGGTTCGATGCCAATTTGTCTTGGGCCGCGCTCTCCATGAGTACTTTTTAGCGCCTTGGAGCCCAACTCACCGATTCTCCTCCCTCACGACCTGGTTCTACCAGTAGAACGTCTCTTCTGCTATCATCATTCTACTTACCCTAGGCGTTGATACCTATTCTGTTTGATTTCATGCGCAAGCCACTGCCCTTGAAATTCTAGTTTGACTAGGTGCATCGCGTCCTCACCGCAGAAACACTTGTCTGCTATCAGATCTCCATTGCAGAGTGCGCGCATTGCAACTGGCGATAGTCTTTCTCTCATTGTGATCAGAATTTTCTACGGCACAAACGCAGGTGGAGTTCCCTATTGCCAGTCAATCACTAGAGATGGATCCTACGCGTTCCCAGCCCTTTGTGCCGCCACTTTCAGAACCGGCTGCAGAGTACGACAAGAAGGTTTCCCAATCCCACTCTCAGCATCTCAATTCATCATGTTCATCGTCAATACCCTTACAGCCACCCGAGAACGTCCACTCCGGTCAAAAATGCATACTTGATCCGCCACTCTCCAGCGCTTTTCGACCGTCTCCCATGAAGACACCTCATGGGCTGAAAACGTCGCTTTCCGGCCGTCGCGAACTGGGCTTCATCCCCATAACAGCCCCTGCTCCGCCGAAGTTCACAACAGACTCGCCGGCTAAGAGGACTCCAAGTACTACATATGCATGCAATACGTCTTCATCTTCGGCAATGCCACAATCTGCCCTATTTACGACCTTTCCCAGCGTCAATCATGGGAAACAGTCCTCCAAGGAGAAGCGACAATTGACTGAATCTTGCAATGACAACTTCGCCGATTTCCCTGAACCATCTTTTGCATCGAAGCCTCTGAAAAGGACCCTCATGGATGCTGCCCCATTGAAGGAACGAACGATCAAGAAGCAGAAGCGCGAAGATGTCGATGTTACGCGACTTCCGAATCCTCAGGAGATGGCCCCCATTGAAGACGATGGCACAAAGCCTCCTTACAGCTATGCGACCTTGATAGGAATGTCTATTTTACGCGCGCCTAACCGACGTTTGACTTTGGCTCAGATTTACAAATGGATCTCAGATACGTTTTCTTATTACAAACACAGTGATCCGGGGTGGCAGAATAGCATTCGTCATAACCTCAGTCTAAACAAAGCTTTTATTAAGCAGGAACGGCCGAAAGATGACCCAGGAAAGGGAAATTACTGGGCCATTGAACCTGGAATGGAAGCCCAATTTCTTAAGGATAAGCCTTTGCGTCGTGCAACCATGTCAAGTCTTCCTCTTCCTGTTACCTCCCAGAGAGAGCCTGCTCACACGCAAAGCTCCGGCACGACAACATGGGCCATTCCCCCACCTAACCACACCTTAGTACCGAAGAGCTCCAAGAATGTGGATCTTTCTTCTGATGCCACAATACCCGCCTCAGACCCTGCTCTTCAGGACGACATGAGTGACGAGGGCGTTAATGCTGCTACATCCCAAGCGCCTTTGCGCTCTTCTCCACCTCAACCAATACGTTCCTCACCTCCTATCGCGCCCCCTCGCTTTATTCGCCAGGGTACACCTCCAACGCCTTCTCATCCCACACCTTCCGCCATTGTTCCTCACTCTCGCAAACGAGAATCGACCACGATTAACGATAGCGGGTACTTCTCTTCCCTGGAGTCTTCGGCAATGCGTCCAAAGAAGACAGGGCATATTTTAACCTCGGACCTGGATATTGACCCTCCTCGTATCAAACGTGGCCGAGCAGAAGAGGAGATAGCTCGAATTCGAAGCTCTTCCCATGATATCAGCCCAAGACGTCCCGGAATGCTCAAAGATGCTGGGGTAGTAATCGGGTCTTCGCCGGTTCGCGGTGAATACGTCAGCATGCTGCCTCCTCCTCTGACGCCGGTGATAAAATTTAAGAAGCCAGCTAAGCCCCCGCCGTCGGTGTCTCCCAACACAAACCTTCGGAATCACCGCAAGAAAATCCAACAAATGGTCAATTCTCCCTTAAAACATCTGGGTCTGACAGATGAAGACCTTCCATGGAGTCCTGCTTTCAGAATCCAAGACGAAACATACACCCCAAGTGACCATCTTCACGCGACTTTCGATGTCTTTGCCGAATCCGCAGAAGAAGGAATCTCGACACTAGCATATGGCTCTCCAGAGAAACGGCCCGCGAAGCGTGCTCGAACAGATACCGAAAACCAGACTGGTACTGTCCTTGCCGATATCACCTCTGTGAGTGTCAATAGCAAAACAGGCATGCAGGCTTTGTCGTCTGCCAAGTCCAAGGGTCCCTTGTTCCCCGAATCACCGTCGAAAGTGCCTGAACATGGGCGTTTTGGCGATGCCACCCACGACGACTTTTTTTCATTCCATCTCTTCGACGAAAGCCCCGTGGAAGTAGACGGAGTGGACCTCCTGCAAGGCTTTCAGAAGATCGGAAGTTCGGGCAAGGAGGAATCTGCGAGATCCAAATCGCACACCTCAAGACCTCAACTGAATATCAGAAGCAATACTGCTTTATTTTGAGGCACTACGAACATCCCTCGATTGAGAGGGATAAACGAAGGATTTTGAATTCTGTTTCACGATACCCAATTTACGAGCTGTTGTAAATCCAGGAGCGGCTTAGTCAACGCATTTCATGATCGTTGAAGGGAATTACGAAGGTTGATACTTTGGAGTTCTCATTCAGTGATTCTCTTTTTGTCTATTTACATACTGAACTTTCCTGGAGTTTTGGGTCAAGGCGTGGCCTGGTGTCGATCTGAATTTCTACTGAACTGTGATGACCCTTTGATGACCTTTATGACCATATTTGTTAATGTACATGAAACAATCGTTGATGATTTTGCAGCTTTTGCTTCTATTTTCAATTTTCTTACCGGCACTTAGTTTTGGAGTCATTAAGGATTATTTGAATTCAGGGAATATTCGAATGAATTCACGTCTGCAATTAAGAAATTTATAATGGAATTTCCCTTAGAACAAAGGAAATCAAAGGAATTCGGGAAATTCTTGCCTGAATTCGTGAAATCATGAGAGTTATCATATGAGTGGGTATCATGTCATGTGCTTAGGAAAGGAAGGCTTGTGGGAAGACGTAGTCTGACAGCTTGAGCTAGACAACACAATCGAGGTCCAGCAGAGGCAAAAAAAGTTTCCACAAGTAGGAAGGGAGAGATCAATCAGCCGAAAGAGATATCAACCAACGCAATCAGATCACAGAACCAGCCTCGGTGATGCTGGATGTCCTCATATCCGAGTCCGCGCGAAATAAGTATCAGTCACTGCTTGCGCAGCCTCGACAACCACAACTGACGCACTGAATCATCTGATCCTCCTTTAACTGGGCTTTCGGCACCCGGCAGATACACGTCGCATTAAAATTTGTCTCTTTCGTCTGAATGCAGCGGAGACAACAAAGCTATACAATCAACATGGTCGACAGTTAGCATATCACTTGTCTTCCACTGTTAATCTGGAACGTCGATAGACATAGTTTGAGACAGGAACATATGGAAGCCCTAGTCAGGAACTCTGACAATACCTTTTCGTAGCCTTGTTTCTTCCATTTGGCGATGAGGTTGGCGTCCGCATAATTGTTCTTGAGAAGCCATTCATACAACTGCCTTGATATCGCCTCTTTCTCGTAATAAAGGTCGTATATGTATCTCGAGCCTACGAAGCAGTCAGCTAATAGCCACCGGTAGCGCCACATCAAGAAAGCTCACGCTGATGACTTATTTGGAAAATCGGCCATAACATCTCATGTTTCTTCTTGCCATCGTGTGGCGCGTTTTCCGCATCTTTCATTTTATTGCTGAACTCCAGCAAAGTGTCCTCTATATCTTCAAAGCCTGCAGGTGGTGGTTTACGATTTCGTGAGGTTCGTATCGGAGGCATACTTTCGACGATGATCTTCTAGCGAGAACCAGAGAGGTAGTGCCCAGAAAAATGACAGTGCGATTTCCAAACGTCTATGATCTTATGAAAAGCCTGGCTGTTTTTTGCCTTAGCCTTCTAGAAGACCCGGGGCGTTATTGTTTCTGAAGGTAGATAATACAAGAAATGGTACCCCCCCCCAAGGCATGGAAAAATGATATGCTCCATTTCTGCCGCGCCACACCGCTCGCAATTTCCATGTTCAAATTGAAACTAGGTACTGCTGTTTGCTTGTAGTATTAATACTCCATACACATTCCCATCTTTTGCGTCTGAAGTTCGTAACTGTTGTCTGAGAAATCATCTGCAAACAGCCCAAAACTTTCCATATACAGAACATTTTCTTCCCCACTATCTCTTGTAGAGAAAATGGATCCTCAGACTCAAAATGATATCGCCAAGCTCAGCGATGCCGACAGAAAGGAACTGACACAATTTCTGGAAAACGAGGCTCAGCGATCCAATATTCAGCAGAGTAAGTGATCTTGAGCTACATTCGTCGTGATAATTTTTCCTCGCTCGCATTGTGGCAATGTTACGGACATACGCCCGGGGTTGTATTTGGCTCTGTGAATGTCTTTACTGATTCGGTGTCTGGGCAGCGGTTCACCATCTCGCCGATGTCTGCTGGAAGAAATGCATCACTGGAAAGATTTCTTCAGGCCGTCTGGGTCAGGGAGAGGAGAGCTGTGCACAGAACTGTGTCGAACGATGGATGGACACGAACTTCGCCGTCCTCAAGCACCTGGAAACTCTTCGAGGGCAATGATTTAATCAGCATTGTAACGAGGAAGTGCATTCCACAAGTCATGGCAACATGTGTTCATTGCTATGTAACTATGCGAGGCAAACCCGGATCGACCACGCGAAATGGGAACTTGAGTTTTGTATTATAGGTCAGGAAATATAATGTCTCACAACCTTGTTTCTAATCATCTACTATGCTGCTTGCGCATGGGTTGGATCTACCTGGTAACAAGACCAGGCTTGTAAGCTCAATCCGACAGCCTCGAGGACGACTGCTCGGCCTACTTATCCTTATAAGATCAGATCTATGCAAAGTAAAGGTCTGGTGAAATCATGCATTCAGGTAATTCTTTTTTCAATTGATCATTCAGCCCTCATTGCAGCACTCGTGGCCAGCTTTTATGACTGATATTTATGCACCACCACGCAAACCAACAAAATTCGCCCAGACCCAAAGAAAACCGTTATCTAGACAATGGCAAGCTTGGTGGCAGCAATGTCCAGAGCGTCCACATCAGGGGTTAGCCGAGCGAAGGCCTTCTTCAATCCATCGGGTCTGCGTAAAAATTAGAATAGTGTTTCCAGCATGAATCATTGAAACCACGAAAAGCAGTGTCCCATACCTGACGAGAGTGTTGACCTTGACGGTGTCGACATCGTACAGCTTCTTGAGGGCCAGCTTGATCTGTCTCTTGTTCGCCTTGACGTCCACAATGAAAACCAGGGTGTTGTGCTCCTCAATCTTCTTCATGGCACTCTCAGTGTTGAGAGGGTAAAGGACAACCTTGTGGGCGTCGAGACGGGGCTCATGAGGGATCGACTTGCGGGGGTACTTGGGCGACCGAGAGAGCTGAAGGGTCTTGGGACGGTGGAAGGTGGTTGAAGTGCGGATCTTGCGAGACTTGTGCGCCTGATTGAACCAAAAGACCTTAGTACAGAGAATGGAATATAGGCTTCGCGGACGGGTCAGTTCAAACATACGCCTGCACCCTTCAAGACTGCCTTGGCAGCAGCGCCAGCCCTGGCGCTGGGCTTGGTCTTGCCTGTTCAATTCAGAAGCTGTCAGTCTCACTGGTGATAGACCCTGAACCAAAAATCTTAACAAAATTGAAGATTTCGCCAAAACAATTTAGATCACCAAGGGCGAACGATTGGAAACCAGACGAAACCGTTGCGCGGTCGTGACATCTTGCTCTCGCCGATTCGTAAATGTATAAATTGACTGGGCATAGGTGCGGTGATTTGGCGATTCTCATATTTATTCAAGTCCAAAAACTCGTGCTCAAACCATCGACACAACTGCAATTTCAAGGAAACAATGAGCTCGCTCAGATTCAACCTACCTTGCTTGTTTTCCACCTTAGGGGCCATGGCTGTCGTCCGGCGCTGTCGTGTTGATTGTCGCAGTGTCGAGAGTCGAATTATGTCGAGAGTATTCGCTTAGCGAAAACCCTACGAGTGACTGTGTGCGTCACCTGACCTTACCCCTTCGCTGAGAGCATCCGATCTCTTGGCGCTGACTGAACCTGATCCGCTTTCTCTGTCCAAATTCGGCTAGCCTAAAAAACAGTTTTGGGATTTAAGATATAATTAGTGTATTATTTGTTATCTAAGTAACATTTAGTCCATCTATCAGGAATTCAGAACATCTCAGGTCCAGTGTCCCGCAGAATGTGGACATCACGTTCATCCGGAGAGTGAGCACTATTCTTCCTTTGTTTCTTTGATCCCTTTTCTCAAGAAATTCGCTCAAGTCGCCTCAGCATTGAGCCACCGCAATTGTTTCCGTAGAGAAAATACGATGGCTGCTGTCAAAAAGCGTTTAAAGAAGCCAAGACTGCTCTCTCACACGCGCCCGCCAACAGCTAGAGCGAAAAACCCAAAACTCTCAGCAAAGGCGACCCGAAATCTCATTCGATCCCATCATCGACTTTTGAAATCTCGAGCCCAGGCATTAAAAGCAGGCAACCAGGACCTAGCCCGGGAGATCGATGGGCGGATCCAAGCAAATGGTGGCCTGGAGAGCTATCAACTTGCCAGCAAATTGGGACAGTCGTTGGAACGTGGCGGCGACTCGAGTAAAGTGCTTGTGGATTGGATTGCTCCGAGCTTAGCTCAGTTGAAAAATTCGCCTTATAAGCTACGAATGCTTGAAATTGGGGCTCTAAGTACGGAAAATGCATGTTCTAAAAATCAGTACCTTGATGTCACGAGGATTGATCTGAATGCTCAGGAGCCAGGCATCTTGAAACAGGATTTCATGGAGAGGCCTCTTCCCCGCGCCGATGATGATCGGTTCCACATCATCAGTCTGTCTTTGGTGCTTAACTACGTTCCAAATGCAACAGGGAGAGGAGATATGTTGAAACGTTGTGTAGAGTTCCTGACAGAGACACCCCCGGCTGGCTCCTCCATCACCATCCGACCTAGCCTGTTTCTGGTCTTGCCGTTGGCTTGCGTCAAAAACTCGCGGTACCTGACGCCGAGTAGGTTGCAAGAAATATTGTCCAGTATGGGATTCACATTGGCAAAGAATAAAGAGACGTCGAAATTGATATTCCAGCTCTGGGAGCATGACCGACGTGGTAAGCCTCGGCCGTTCAAAAAGGAGATTCTAAATCCTGGGAAGACGCGAAACAATTTCGCTATCAATGTTCAATAAGAAAGGATGCCATGTCCAGGGAAACAAAGGCTATTAAACCCCTGCTCAATTCGCAAAAATCATGCCTTGTGGCAAAAAAGCCCAGGCAGTTCCAATGATCGCCATGACCGATGATGTGACAAGGAGAAACCAGTCCAGTATACGTTCGCCCATCCCGATCTCCTTACCGAAAATCTTCAGGTAGAATGCGAGAGGCAGTATGATGCAAATTGTGAAACATAATGCGGACCCCATCAAGGCCATGATTTTGTCGAAGGATGGGAATACGATAGCCATAACGACAATTACAACCACCACAAATATGCGTATGGTGGCTTGGAGTGATCGGCGAAGGGTTTCTGTCATCCCTTCATGACGATCAGACATCGCGTTGTGGCGCGGTTCGAGTCCACAAAGAACTTCAACAGTGGCCACTAGAGGCCGGCAGCTAAAATTACATCAGTTCCTTGTCTTGGGACGCCGAGAAGCTATCCATGAGGTTCACTCACTTCAATGGCACTTTAGTGATCGGAATGATTGCAATCAATACTATCACACAGATAGACAATGCCTGCGGATATTCAGTCGTCAACAGCACGTTGGCTGTGATTTCATCTAAGACACCATCGCCGAACATCAACCATCCCACAATAGCCATTGCGCAATCCAATGAATACTGTTGACTATGTTAGCGCTCGACACGCCGGCATGCTGCAATACATACTGTGAATATATATGTCGCCCAAAGGCTCTTGCCGTACTTATGGGGATGCCTCATGTCACGATAGATACATGGGAAGCACGAATGGGCCCCCCAAGGGGCTGAATTGAGAATAAGTCAAGTCAGCGCATGAGATTCGGACAAAGGAACTGGTAGACTCACACATAATAAGACCAAAACTGAGCGGAAGAGTAGCCCAGTTGTCAGGAAACATTGTGGTTCTGGCTGGTTGACGAAGGGAGCCCGGGCTATCTGGTTTGACCAAACCGTCAATGAATATAATGCTGACAACTGTTGATATTAGTCAATCGTGCGAGCACCGTTCAAGAAAGAAATAACATACTGGAAGTACACGACAGGATGCCTAGTATACTCGTGACACTTAGTAACCGCAAGGGAACGAAGTTTAGCGGCATAAGCATAAACCCGCAAATTATTTTCCATCGAAGGATGCTCAGACCGGGAATCAGCGCATTAAGACTGTCGGCAAAAAGCACAACTAGGGCGACGCAAGCCCCTATCAGCTCCAAACAGAACAAGAGACTCGTAACAATCCGTGCATGATGCCCAAAGCTGATGTAGGCTACATCTGCATATGTCACAAGGCTTCGGTCAACGTCTAAGCATTTAGCCAGGATCTTGGCAGTGTACGAAGTGGTCACGGCAGCGAAGAGGAGGAACGATAATCCCAGGAGCCACCCAGCGTATTTCATTGCCAGAGGCAACGACAACAGGCCGACTCCAATCAAGACATTGACCGAATTGAAAACAGTCTGCGGCACAGTAGATTGGCCTACAATGACACTCTCTCGCGTTCCATCATCGTGCTGAATCTGTTTGACAAGGAGAGGCTCACCATCGGGAACTACAGCTGCGTTGCGATGTGCCACTTGCTCCCTATGAAATTGTATTGCGTTTCTCCGAGTCGTCTCACTGATCTTAGATGAGATCGTACCGTAAGATGTCCCCAGGCTTCTATCCAATGATGAGCTAAGGATGGCGGTACTTGGAAACCCCTTTTTTGAGTGACCAGTATTACTCCCGTCCCCTTCCTCGTCACCATGCAGCAATGGCCGTGTATAATCAGCCTCCTGCCTGGCTGATAAAGAGCTTCTCGATGCAAGATCCTCATTCCACCCCGAAGTCCATTCTTCATCCGCACTAGCCGCCGCGAACGAGGAACGTCGAGGGAGGACTTCGGGGAAACAAGCGGCTCGTTGCCATGAGCGAGCAAAATGATCAATGCTGTTGGGGCCGCCCGCAAATCTGAAGCGCGCAGAGAACGAAGACGATCTAGACAAAGACGTTAATTGGAGAAAGTTCTATGAGCGAACCCGATCATGATATGTTTCACCTTTGTCTCTGCAAATCGTAGTCATTAATCGGACGGCCATCGTAGCTCGTTGAGCTGGCTTGGCTGTAGGCATCGGAATCAAAAATCCTCCCTTCATATGACTGCTGGTCATTGCCGGACAAGTCTCCGTGATTCTCAGCGGTCGACAATGATTGCTCCTGCATCGCTCCTTTTTACTTTCTCTTTTCTATTATATCCCTTCAGCCAAGTTCCTCTCACAAAATATTGGTTGGTGAATCGCCGAGGAAGTTGTACAGACGAACAGATAGAACGGAAGTCAACAAGGTATCAGTTGTCTTGGTCGTCCTGACAATAAATGTGCAGATCCTGGATTATTGAGTGCTTGAAGACTGTATCGAATGTGCCGACAAGAGCATATATATAACGAGGAGAAAGCAACTTTAGACGAATATGCATTGTAGTGTTTTAGATAAAAGCTATCTACTCCGTAGAGCAGGTTAGGTGAAGTGGGGTCTAATATCAGTTAAGTACCTTACCTATGCTGGCAGATAAGAAGCCACCGCATAACATGAACTAAAAATTAAACATCATAGATTCGGATGATACAATGGACATGGACTGGGATTAAATATTTATAAACGACAGCAGAGCATGAAAATGAGGGTAAAAACCAGAGCATCACAGGGATTAATCATGGAGAATCCTTAACAAAGCGAACCTTGACCTCTGGTATTATGCAAGTCAAAGAGCAACAAAAGAGATGACTATCAGAACCACGAGGATAGTTACCTGAGGAAGATCCAGTTCCCAAACCACGCATCCTCAATGGCCTTTGTGCATCCCTATTATTGCTTGCATGAAGTACTCCCTACCTACAAGATGGATAATATCATTTAAAGTACGTTATTGGTACAAGGCGCTCGCTGTGCCTCCAAGATTAGGCTTATGTCATCCAGGAAAAACAGGCGACGACTGACCCATATTATTATTACTCATTCGCCTTAATATTGTCTGTCCCCTGCCACCCCACGGTGCCTGATGAAATTTGCTCCAACACCCCGCTGGACCTGGACGGCAAATTGACCAGCTTTAAGGTATGTGACTCGACTGCTCCTCTCAGTCTCTTCTCTTCTTTGTTCCATCTGATTACGAATTCGTCCTTAAAAATTAAGAGGCAAATTTCTCCGACTTCTGTGCCTTCTAGCGCTAATAATAATCTTTGCCAGCATCAGACTGTCAAGTTGTGAACCCTATTCTGCCTCTGGTCGCCAATTACCGTCGCGTCGCCCAAGATGAGCGCGCCTCAGCCGAACGAAGCTGAAAAGAACATTGAAATATGGAAGGTGAAGAAGCTTATCAAGCGGCTTGAGGCCGCCAGGGGAAATGGAACTTCGATGATTTCTCTTATCATTCGTGAGGCTCTTCGCATTCACCCTTTTGCTAGATGCGTCGCTAACGTGATTCCTCAGCCCCCAAAGATCAAATCTCGCGAGCGGCAAAGATGTTAGCTGAAGAATTTGTATGTCCAGTTCCGTGGAGTCCATATTTATGTCTAACTGCTCACTGGCGGAACTGGTAGGGTACCGCTTCCAATATTAAATCTCGCGTCAACCGCCTTTCCGTCCTTTCAGCTATCACTTCTACCCAGCAACGTCTTAAGCTGTACAACAAGGTTCCTCCAAACGGCCTCGTGGTCTACTGTGGTGAAATCATCACGTCAGAAGGTAAAGAACGAAAGATCAATATTGACTTCGAGCCATTCAAACCCATCAATACCTCGCTTTATCTTTGTGACAACAAGTTTCATACAGAAGCTTTGAGTGAGCTCCTTGAGTCAGATCAGAAGTTTGGCTTCATTGTCATGGATGGAAACGGCGCCCTCTTCGGCACACTGAGTGGCAATACTCGAGAAGTCATTCAGAAGCTAAGCGTGGACTTGCCCAAGAAACACGGTCGTGGTGGTCAGTCCGCGTTGCGTTTCGCCCGTCTGCGTGAGGAAAAACGTCATAACTATGTGCGCAAGATTGCCGAACTGGCTGTCCAAAACTTCATCACAAATGACAAAGTGAACGTTGCGGGCCTGATTTTAGCAGGTTCTGCTGATTTCAAGAATGACCTCAACCAGTCAGATATGTTCGATCAGCGTCTGCAGGCCAAGGTCATCAAAGTCGTGGATGTCTCTTACGGCGGAGAAAATGGGTTCAACCAAGCTATTGAACTCTCTTCGGAGACTTTGAGCAATGTCAAGTTTGTCCAGGAGAAAAAGCTGATTGGCCAATATTTCCAGGAAATCAGTCAAGATACTGGAAAGGTCTGCTATGGTATTGATGACACTTTGAAGGCCTTGGAACTCGGTGCCGCGGAGACTCTCATCGTTTATGAGAACCTCGACGTGACTCGATATGTTCTCAAGACGTCAACTGGCTCCGAAGTCATTGTCAATACCACCAAAGCTCAAGAAGAGAACCGAGCGTTGTTCACCGACAAAGACACTGGCACTGAGATGGAAGTCGTTGAGCAGACTTCTTTCCTCGAGTGGCTTGCCGAGAACTACAAAGATTTTGGCGCTACGCTGGAGTTTGTTTCAGATAAATCCAGTGAAGGAAACCAGTTTGTGAAGGGATTTGGTGGGATTGGAGCACTCTTGCGGTACAAGGTCAACTTTGAACAGCTTGCCGACCTTGATGACGAAGATGAATTCTACGACGGTACTTCTTGAACCCTAAAAATCTTCTCATTGCATGCTAACGCAGGGCATCTGTGCAGATTGACGGTTCAGCGGCCTCGCAGAGAGCGAGGATGAACGGCCAGAAGTTCCCAACACGGATCTTTTGACGGCTCGCCCTGTCGTTCGTGAAGGCGGCTTTCATGGTGAACCCATGGCTACCTTGGCACGTACCGCGCTGTGGTCTGGACAAAATTCTATAAAGCTGCTCAGAGGTTTGTCTATAATCCATTTCCGACATCCAATTTGGTCCGGGACCGACTCTGACAAGTCGCCGCGCATCAGGGCCATCCAAGCTCCGTAACATGGTCACTGAGGCTACCTAGATTTTCCTGGGTCGGCCCGAAGTGTGCTTTGCTGAAGAATGGTGGATCTGTTGTGCAGAACTCAGCCGCTCACAAAACATGGTCGAGCTTAAGAACTAAGCTGGCGAGATTAGATTGAGATTGTTCTTTTTTGGCACAGTTTACTGGGTCAAAATTCCTTCTATTTACGCTCGTTATTTCTGCGTTCTCTATGTGACCAACGGCAACTAGCAATGCACCTCGGTATTTGCCAGAGTGGCTCTGTTCGCGATGAAACACGAAATCGTCTTCCTAAGAAAGTTGCCATTCCGTATATAGAAAATCATATCTGTGCTTTCCAGGGATGTCAGATGAGATAGCATGTACCACGTATCAAACGCTGCTAGTTGAAAGCTGGTCTTTCCAAGTGCCAAGATGCCTGCAGCCCTCAGCAACCTGCTGCATCTTATCCAGAATTTTAGTAACCCCCTGGCTATTCTGGTCCGTAGGGAATTGTTGGCATTCGACAAAAAATACATATTGCCAAGCCCTCCTCTGACTCGGTCGCGTGTTGATGCTGGTAAGATTCATACCGAATTCCTTGAATATCAACAGAGCGTCTGCCAATGCCCCTGGAAAATCCTGACGGATTCTGAACGAGATTAGAGTCTTTTCCGCAGACGATGTGAGGCGGGGTTTTAAAGCGACTGAGGGCGCCTTCACAGCGTCAAATGGAAGCCGGGTTGTACGTTCTGACTTTGTGTTCCTCAGAACGAGGAATCGCGTTGTATTGTCGGCCTTGTCCTCGATATTTTCTGAGAGTACATCTAGGCCGTGGTAATCAGCAGCAAATCGGCTAGCTATGGCACCACTGTGTTCTTGTGTCTCAAGTGAGACCATCTCAGCAGCTTTTGATGTCGAAGAAACGTCCTGCCTTTCGACGCCTTTTAGGAATTTCGCCAGAAAATTCTCACACTGACCCCATGCTTGGGGGTGCGTATAGAGCTTTGTTATTGACCTTATATCCGGTTGCGACAGGCCCTTTCGAACCAGCAGGCAGTGGTGAACTGTTAAATAATGCTCTCCGCATACATTCACATCTTCGTAGAGCCCATATCGATCTGCTAAAAGATCAAGATTCTGGACAACTGATCCGTTGGTCGAATTCTCGACAGGAATGATGGCATAGTCTGCTTCGCCCTGCTGAACTGCGGCGAAAGCATCCGCGAACGATAGGCGGGGTGACAGCTCAGCAGAAAATCCAAAACACTCAACGGCAGCCTGTATCTTCACATTAATGATGTTCGAAGTTTATGATGAGCTCACCATTCCTGACCTGATGGGAAAAAGACGCCGCAGGGCCAAGAAAAGTCACTCTGATTGCCTCCATGAATCCCTGAACCTAGCTGGTCTCCTCCTTAGACTCTCTGGAACAGTTAAGGAGGGGTTTTCCAAATTTCTCAATCAGCTGCCCCCCCGCACTGCGGGAACTTTTTTTTGAGCTCCGGCATTCTGACTTGGAGTTACTCGTAGCTGCGAGCCCATTAGAACAAACAAAACAAACAGAAACTGCAAGTTCGCTGCCACCAATGCCTAGGATATCCAAGAACACAAGTCATCTTTGCTTGCTGTTGGACTGCTCACAAGAATCTGGCATTACTAGATGAGAGCAATTACAGCCAACCTTCCATTGCCATTGGGACGGCTATACACAAGCACCAAAATGCGAATTTACTCTACATTCTCTGGAAGCTTGTGCCGGGAATTGATCGCACGACGACTTCCCTTAATATATGACTATCTTCATCCTCAACCGTCTCATCTCTTGAACCTGACTTTGGTGGATATTATTCCACACTTGCAGCAAACAGGGTACAAGCATGAGACCCTCCCCTCAATCAAGCGGCCGCCCCTCCTGAAACCAGGGCATCATTTAGTCTACTTTCCTCCTCAAGTCACTCTATCTCAAATACTCCCTGACGGTACTGATACATTGCATTTCCCGGGACCGCCATTTGTCAGGCGTCTTTGGGCTGGTGGAAGGGTTAGATTTCCCTTGATGCATAATCCTCTCCTTGATGGCAGTCGGGCTGTCTGCATTGAAACAATTCGGGACGTAATAGTCAAAGGTCACCAAGGGGAGGAAAAGCTTTTGGTCGATATAGAGAGACGTATCGGCACGGTCAAGGAAGACGAGGCAGAGGAGAGTATCAGGGGACGTTTATGGAGTGACGACGCAAATGAAGAGAGGGAGTCATCGGTTATTGAAAATAGAAGCCTAGTTTTTATGCGCCAAAAGACCACACAGCAAATCGAAACAGACAAAGGGGACTTTGAGAAGGTTCGCAGGAGAATTCAGGGTAATTGAGACCAAGCAAAGTTTTGCTTTCGAGGACGTGCTGACTGTCAGTTCTTTGACTAAAGCTCCCTCAGACGCCGAATTTCGTCTTAAGATCAAACCGACCAAGGATTTATTATTTCGATTTTCAGCACTCACATTCAATGCGCACTCCATTCACCTTGACACATCTTATACCCGGAACGTCGAAGGTTACCCAACTCTCCTTGTTCACGGCCCACTGACTCTCACATTGCTTCTCACGGTTTTGCAGAGCTACTTAGTGGAGTCTAACCGCGCAATCAGTGAGATAGAATATAGAAATCTGTGTCCTTTATACGTTGACGAGGACTTAACCATCTGCGGTAAGCCCAGGTTCGACAAGGGAAGCGGGGCTTGGGATGTTTGGATCGAAGGACACAACGGTGGTCTGGCTGTCAGAGGCACTGTGACGACAAACGAGTGTAAAAGTTCGCGGTGATAGACTTTACAACTAACAATGATCACATTGTGCTTGTACCTCGGATGGCAATGAAAGTGAAGCTTGTCCCAAACTTTCGGTGCAACAATGGAACTAATTACCGTGCATGCGCCCAAAGGACCGCTCCTAAATGAGAGCTTCTCTCACCTGATCGAGAACTTGAAACTTAGCAAATGTCCTCGCCCCCAGTCAGTAGCACAGTCTGCGATGAGCGTTTGACACGAAGTCAGTAGCCTGGAAATATTGGGTCTGTATACAGACCTTGTCGCTTGTGCGGTAGTGCTTAGAAAGAGAAATATAGAGAAAGACAAACTTTGTTCATGGCAAGAGTACAGACGAAGGAAGGGTTGGGATCCGTTTCCTACCAGGCCATCTTGAGTGTGAGTTCAATCACATGTATCCTTGAGACAAACTACAGTTTGGGAATACATAGTAGGGGCACTGCTCGTCGCATAGCTCTTTATTCCATCTGACAGAACCTGCTGAAAGCATAACCACGACATTTAGGGTACCTGTCCTACATAAAGAGAAACAGAAGGTAGAAAAGCTAATATTCTGTCTGATGAAAAAGTACTACAAGAAGTCCTCCTCTGTACATGAGGTCCTAGTAAGAGGATGTAACAGCAAGTCATGAATTTGCACGTGACCCTACGGCCACTGCTGTTGGAGCTAATTTTTACTTGCTCTCAAAGAACCGAGTTCTAATAAAGTGGGTCTGTTCGTTTACCGGAATGGAAAAACTTATCCAGGTAGGAGCTAGTTCTTGCACACATTTTATTCCTCCGAAGAAAATCTCCTTCTCTCACCTTTTGATACAACTTCTTAATGACCTCAAGTTGACATTCTTCAAAAACTGCCGTTATTCTATGATATGTAAACTGTGATTCTTCTAACAACGCAGTCAGGCAGTGGGAGCCATTTTACAATTTCACTCACTAACATGGATCGTTTCTGGTCTGCTCCTCCTGTCACGAGGTACACCTACGCCGCCTTCAAGTCATTATTTTGAGGGATCCTGTCTAACGTTCGATGACAGAACGCTTACTGCTCTGACATTTGCTCAATCAGCTCTGGTTTATGGTGGCCTGCTGAGCGGCTATTATGTTGTCTTCATTCCGAGGCTGCTTTTTAGGCTTCCGCCTCAGTTATGGAGATTGTTTTCACCTTTCCTTTTGACAGGATCGGGTCTCTCCTTCATATTCGATCTTTACTTCAGTACGACTTCATGTCGGACCGGTCCTTAGCCACGCTAACCTGCCATTAGTGTATACCTATGGCAGCGCACTTGAGACAGACTCACCCCGATTCAGTTCGCCTGGTGACTTCTTCACCTACGTTTTATTCGTAGCCTTTGTTATCATGGTAAGTCTAGAGGACAAGCATCGGATGGGTCATCATCCTATAGCAAAATCACCACACTTCCTCAACGTTTCGTCTCTGCAAACCTTCTCTTTGAACCCTAGCATAGTCACCTCGCATTATCTGCCCGCCCAGCCTCAACTAGCTGAAGCGGTTCCTGGAAGCGAGGAAGATCACCCCTGCATCACTTACAGCACCTCTCTCATTGATCCTATAGGGCTGTATGCGTTGTGGGTATGGTGGGAAGACCACTGAGATAGCCATCGTGATTAAATAGTATCACGTTGGTGGTTATGGTGCCCTACATTCCATATACTCTTCTATCTGTAATGTCAATCATGAATTGTTATACTCTCTCCTGAAACCTGTTCGAATTTCTACCTTGGAAGTAGCCTTGATCAGGTACACAATGCTGATAAATCGAAGGTCACCGCAGGTTACTTCTTAAGTGGCGTAATCTTCACCTCGGGTGAGCCTAACCTGGCGGATCGTGTTCTCACCCATGCTAACTTGCGACAGCTCTGATTCTAGCATTTGTCTATACCTTTGCACAGGACAATCGGGGGAAAAGAGCAACCTTTATTATCATCCAGATACCCATCGAATACTTACCCTGGGCGATGCTCGTGCTCACTCTGGTCATGGCCGGTTGGCCGGCTGCATTGAGCGAGGGTATGGGAATCATAGCCGCCCACTTGTATGATTTCCTCACACGTCTTTATCCGACCTTCGGTGGAGGAAGAAACTACCTCACCACGCCAGCTTTCGTAAGGAGATTTTTCGCCGCATACGCCCCTAGAGGGGAATATCGGGCCTATGGAACTGCCTATCGGCCAGCGGGCCAAAACCCCCCTTCATCAAGTGGCTGGGCTTCATCCTTTCAGAGCTCATGGGGTGGAAGAGGGCCGGGGCGGAGACTTGGCGGTAGCTAATTTGTCTGACAACAGGTCCTAGAGTCCGAGGCTCTACTGTTTACTTCCTATCTTTGTCTTTGCTGATGTAGTCGATACTGCATAGTACTATGCCTGGCAGCTTCCTTATTTTAACAAGTGTCACCTCCGCTTTATTCTTGAAATCAAGAAGCGTCATTTCATTCATAATCCAGTACATCATGAATGTTCAAAACACAAAACATTATATAATGTAGACGCAGGAACCCGGCAGTCTCTTGTATAAGCGAGAGTAGACCTGGACCATGTTAGCTATCTATGCAGCGCACCGCAGCGCAGAGACTTGGGCACCGGTGTCCGAGAAAGACAATGAAATATGATGATGTGGATTACTTTCACTGAAAATCACGGGACTATCGGCCTGATTCTGAGCTTCCCGACGCTAACCTCTTTGGTAGTTAGGCCATTTGCCGCACTTCAAAATTTCCCAAAAGTTTCTTTTCTCACTAGCGCCAGAGCAAAACCTTGGTGAAGCCGGTGCAATTTTTCTTGCGCTTCTCACCAAAACGCGCCCTCACCAGTGATATTGAACTCTTGAAGCCAACTTTCAACATGGCAGTCTCAGTGGCTAAGGAAGAGATGGACTACACCATCAAGCCTGAGGCTGGTGCCTCCAACATCTCCACAGAAGAGTGGCCTTTGCTACTAAAGAATTATGACAAGCGTACGTGAATACTTGATCACATTCATGGTCCTTCGCTCTGCGGGATGACGGGGTTATTCTTGTGTAAAGTAGCTTGAACTGATTTTATCCCAGTCATGGTGAGAACCGGTCATTTCACACCAATTCCCGCTGGTTGCTCGCCTCTCAAGCGTGACCTGAAGTCCTACATCAGTTCAGGTGTGATCAACCTCGACAAGCCTTCCAATCCATCTAGTCACGAGGTTGTCGCTTGGATGAAGAGGATCTTGAGGTAAATTGTAATCTTTCTGCGCTGATATTCGGAACCAGATGCTAAAACCATGGCGTGTTTTGCAGGGCGGAGAAAACTGGTCACAGTGGAACTCTTGACCCGAAGGTCACCGGTTGCTTGATCGTCTGTATTGACCGTGCGACCCGCTTGGTCAAGTCCCAACAAGGTGCCGGAAAAGAGTACGTCTGCGTCATTCGTCTCCATGACAAGATTCCCGGTGGTGAGGCTCAGTTCAAGAGAGCTCTTGAGACCTTGACTGGCGCTCTCTTCCAGCGGCCTCCTCTGATCTCTGCTGTCAAGCGTCAGCTTCGTATCAGAACGATCCACGAAAGCAAACTCTACGAGTTCGACAATGATAGACACCTTGGCGTGTTCTGGGTCAGCTGCGAGGCGGGAACTTATATTCGAACCCTTTGCGTTCACTTGGGTCTCTTGCTTGGTGTCGGTGCTCACATGCAGGAACTTCGGCGTGTACGAAGTGGAGCTATGGACGAGAACAATGGCCTCGTGACTCTTCATGACGTCCTGGATGCGCAGTGGATGTACGATAACCAGCGGGACGAGTCTTACCTGCGCAGGGTCATCCGACCTCTCGAGTCTCTTCTCACAACCTACAAGCGTATTGTCGTTAAAGACAGCGCCGTCAACGCTGTGTGCTATGGCGCAAAGCTCATGATTCCTGGTCTCCTGCGCTTTGGTAAGTTCGGTTTACTCTTGGTGATGTCGATTTCTACCTGGTTGCTGACCGATGTCCAGAGGCTGGCATTGATGTCAACGAAGAAGTTGTTCTCATGACCACAAAGGGTGAAGCCATCGCCATTGGTATCGCTCAAATGTCTACTGTTGAACTTTCCACCTGCGATCATGGTGTCGTAGCTAAGGTCAAACGTTGCATCATGGAACGTGATCTTTACCCTCGCAGATGGGGTCTGGGCCCTGTAGCTCTGGAGAAGAAAAAGCTCAAGTCAGCTGGAAAACTGGATGTAAGTTGCTGGGTTTCGCCTTCCAACATAGGTTTTCGTGGTTTTTGTTCGCTGACCAGCGCTCAAGAAATATGGCCGAGCAAATGAGGACACCCCCGCCAAATGGAAGACCGAGTACAAGGATTACAGCGCCCCCGATGAAGCTTCCGCTCAGGCTGCACCTGAATTGACAGCTAAAGAAGACGTGGCTGCTGCCCCAACTACGGAACAGGACGAGGCGCCATCTTCACCCCAGTCCAAGATGGATGTCGATGAAACCAAGGAAGAGAAGAAACGCAAGAGGCATGAGGGCGAAACACCAGAGGAACGTGCAGAGCGTAAGCGCAAGAAGAAGGAGAAGAAGGAAAAGAAAGAACGGAGAAAGTCCAAGCAGGAGAAGGAGGACAGTGATGACAGCGACTAGACATATACTGGGACCTTATTGCTCGCTCGGATACCGGGCTTCCATGGTTGGAAGACTTTGTTGCTGCTGTGTATTTGCTTCTCGAACTGTCATACGGGCACGCTGTCTGTATCTTATTTTGTTTTCTGTTTATCGGAGTCTTGGGTTGAAAAGGGAACCAATGTTAGTCTTTCTTGTATCATTTACAACGACTGCTCTCGAGTCAGCAATCACAGAAAGAGCCTTCATCGCATCTCATTGTAATATGATTCCACCAACGTGGGTATCCAGGTAGCGTCTATGATTCAGGTATCGTCCTGGATTACCAGTGTACAGCTATCTATATAAAAATTATGTATTACTTATCTCCTCTTACTGGCGTTCGATAAAAGTACTTTGCGTTTATGTTGGAAGGGCCTTTCAGTGCCGTGACTCGTGATCTTTTCGCCGATGTTCTCCGCACCAAGTCCGCCAAGCCGATTATTTCCCCGCCGCCTGTCCCACCTGCTACATGGATGCCAACTTGTGCTGCGTCGCAACGGCTTTCTCTCTCTTTGTTATCTCACTCTAATCATAGGCTTATTATCCAAACCCCCGCGATCTCCCTCCTTCCAGGCTTAACGTAAAGAAGTATCGAATACGACCACGCGCAGACGATCCGGAAATCGTCATGGCTGCAGAGCTCACGTCAACGAAGCTCAATGCGGAGAATCATCTGCTCCTGGTAATTCCCACCACTGCCCATGTCCATACGCTGTAGCTGATGTTGGCATCTTGTGGTCGTGTAGGACCAGCCTCTTCTACGATTACCTCACGAGCTTGCACGGAGAAACTTCAAGTCTGTTCAACGACTTGTCGAGAGGGAACGGGAATATGTCATTCCCGCGCTCAAAGAGGCCGCCAATGCCTCCCTGTCAAATGGTCAGACACCGGATCAAACTCTCGCGGTTCTCGACTCTATGTTGGCTCGCATGCAAAACCTGAAACGGAAAATGGAAAGTATCCAGCAGGAGGAGAAGAAAATCCAAAACCAGTCACGAAAACGTATACAGCATCTGGAGCATCTGCACCAAATTCCCAGCTTGGCAGATGTCAAATATGACCAGTGGTCCAGGATCAGGCTGGATAGACTGGTGGTTGATCACATGCTGCGTTCCGGGTACACTGAGAGTGCTCAGCAGTTGGCCCAGGACAAGGGCATCGAAGACCTAGTTGATCTGGATGTCTTCGTACAGTGCCAAAGGATTGCTCAGAGCTTGCGCCGTGGGGAAACAAAGGACGCTTTGCAGTGGTGTAACGAGAACAAAGCGGCGTTGAAGAAGAGCCAGGTATGTGGAGTACACATGAACATAGCCGTGTCTTGAATCCAGTCTCATTCACTAACAAGCCAGACACAGTTCAATCTGGAGTTTGAATTACGCCTGCAGCAGTACATCGAAATGCTCAGGACAGGTGATAGAGGGAAGCTCATGGACGCTATGGCACATGCCAAACGATATCTTGCTCCGTATACCGAAACGCAATCAAAAGAAATCCATCGAGCAGCAGGACTACTCGCCTTCCCTCAGGAAACTAAGGCTGAACCGTACAAGGTACATCCGTCTAAACTTTGTCTTCAAATCCGCCCGTTGTGCCTGAAAAATCCAGCTAACCAATTTTCAGTCAATGTACTCATTCGACCGGTGGAATCATCTGTCTGACCTCTTCATCCGGACCCATCATGAACTTCTATCGTTGCCTTCAAGCCCGTTATTACATATTGCATTGTCTGCTGGCTTATCGGCCCTCAAGACTCCATCTTGCCATTCCGCATATACATCCTCGAGCTCCAACTCTTTATCTACCGCGACGTCCGTATGCCCCATATGCTCGACTGAGCTGAATGAACTTGCGCGTAATATGCCGTACGCCCATCATGCTAAGAGCTATGTTGAAAGTGACCCGATTGTCTTGCCAAATGGTAGGATTTACGGTCAGCAGCGGTTGCTAGACATGAGCAAGAAACTTGGCTGTGTCGAAACAGGCAAGGTGAAGGATCCTACCACCGGCGAGATCTTCGACGAGAGTGAGATGAAAAAAGTTTACATCATGTAGTTGTGGAGGTATCAGAATAACGAGGCTGTTGCATGTTTTCATATTCTCTCCTGATTTGTGTATTATTTCTCAGAAGGCACTGGAGAGGCTAAGTACGAGAACAAAATTCTTAACAGCTTAGTCGCTATCTTCACTATCGGACGAGTCCCTTGACCTTTTCTTATTCTTTCCCTTAGTGTCCAGTCTAGTAGCCTGCGGATTCTTCGGCGGTGCAACTTGATCTTCTTGCCTGACCTCAAAGACATACATTCTTGCCTCGCGGTCTTCTCCCCTCCAGCCCCCTCTTCCCCCATGCTTTCCTTCGATCTCGCCGAGGGTTCGAGCGTGGGAGTATCCGTGGTAAGAGCTCCACGGAAATCTAAAACTCGTGACCACCCGCAAACCGGCGTGCCGTGCAAGATCCTTGATATTCCATAGGGTGTAAGGCTCGCCTTCAAACATGGTCACTAAAATCTGTCCTGGCTCGGTCCTGTATCTACTTCGCCGTCCATGGGCGAGGATATCCTGATCATCCTGCTCGCCCGAGTCTGATTCACTGTCTTCACTTGAGCTCCGACTGTCATCCTCTTCGTCGTCTTCATCATCATCATCGCCGTTCAAGACTTGCGGACGGGCCGACAACAGTGGCACGCAGGCCTTGAAAAAGGCGACAAGTAATTCCTGGTTTGAGCGAACCTGTCGATTCACGTCCGTTGATAGGCCACCGACGTGTGGGAAGTTGAAACATATGATATCCCAAGGACCACCTGTAGTCGGCGCTGGCTCCATCTTCTGCCTATTTTCCTGCCAAGCAGGACGTTTGCGCTCGCGGCGTGCAAAGCCTGTGCGGACATCCTTCCCACCTCCGGCGGGAGATCCGAGTTTTCGCGCATCAACTGCGAAGAGTAAGTTCGGAGCCCGACGCTTGCAGTCTTGTTTCTTATCAGACTGCTCTCCGGCTTCCTTTTTTCCCCGAGTGCTTTCCTTCTCCGTCTCAGATCCATCAGGATCACTCTGTTTTTTCTTATTAGAGAACGAGCTAAGAAGATCCTGGACATGCTGTTTAGCTTGTGGATATTTGCTGTATAGCATCTCTTCTGAGTCGTAGCATGTGGCCAGGATATTCCTGCAACGGTGCTGCACTGCTAGAGAGCGAGCAAATGAGAAGTCCCCTAGAAAACATATCATCAGACTATTTGCAATTCAGGAACTCTGGTACTTGAACCGCAAGACACCAGGGCTCAGCCGAGCCAGCATGAGTACACGGAAGGAAAGGCACAGAATAGCTTCAGGTCAGGTCAATGTCAATACTGATCGCTAGTATACTATAAACTCAACAAAGCCAACACGACGAGTGCCCTCGCAGATTAACACATGCGGGAACATCGCCGCTCGCTGACTCTGTCGGCCAAGCACATGAGACGAATGCAAATAGGGAGAACAACATTGACTTAAGGGCTCTGGACGCTTCAAGTATTTGAGAAGGAAAATCATCAAAAGGAAACTTAAATCTTGAAAAGCAGTAGGGAAATATAAAAAGAGGAAGCGCTCACCCTCACCCACAAGTAGGATACGGTCTCTCCGTCCGAATGGGACAATAGGCCGTCGATGTTGGGCCGGATTCTTTTTGTTCTTCTCCGCTGTACCATTGTTGCCAATGCCACTCTTCTGGGTCTTAGATGTCGAAGATGGCCCCGCAGATGTAGATAATCTCGAAAACGCGTGCATTTTCCGCGCTCCTCTGAAGCCAGGCCCATCACCGCGCTGGGGCCCGTTAGCCCGGACTCTTTTCGATCTGGGCATGTCTCTAAGATATAAACTTGTGTCGTTCAGGTCTTGTCGTCTTCAGGACGGATCTAAACGAAGATAGAATTGAGGACGGAGCCGGTTCTTTGAACTGCCTGGATAACTGGGCCGTTTAGCGACTACTCCCCCATTAAGGTAGGACTCAGATCCGAAGAAGAAAAAATAAAAAATAGTAGTTCCAAACCTGCGCGCGGGCCAATTCATTTCCCGAGATTAATGGATTTCTTGAATTAAATCTCAGGTAGGAAACAGAGATAACTGGCCTGCTCATTTCATAGATTACTTTTTGTTATTTCCTGATTTGATTTCTATTCTGTATTTTTTGAATCCTCAGCAATTTTGACAAAGAACGGACCATGTCACCCAACCCGCTCTATAACCATATTAAAAAGAAGTACAAGGTTGTTATATACATCACACTGTCAAAAAAAAAAAAGACAATTCCACTGTCTTCAACATCTGACCTGTCTGCAGTCTCAACGTCGCGTAAATTGGCATGCATATGAGCAGGTAGTATCAATCAAGACGGGGGAGGGTGAAATGAAAGCCGCGACCAAAATTTTGGGATGAAACAATAATCTTAGCAGAAAGGAGGCAACCTTCCCGTCAGACCGAATACGATGAGGGTAGGTCGAGGTTCCTAGGAAGCTTTATCGACCACAAAGGCCAAAAGCAACAACGGAATTGACCGAAATGCGGACAACTACGTCTGAAAGGGAGTATAGGTACATATCACGTTCATGTTAGGGGCGAGTCCACGTTTGTTTCGGGGAGCTGATTCCATTTGATAACAAGGGCGTCCGTCGTTCATAGTAAGGCATACATCAACGTCTCGCTAAACCTTCACATCAGGGTGAAGTGATTCAGGAGCGCAGAGAGTCTCTCATGCTCTGGCTGCTAGCACTGACGGGGGGGTTCGACATTGGCAGCACACCAGTCTTTGGCTTGGCACTTTGCTTGATCTTGGCAACGGCGTAAACAATTCCACTAATGAAGCCGACAACAATGGCAGAAACGCTGGGGAAAGTGACGGGAGCATCGAAGAAGATCAAGCCGGAGAGTGCGATGGGCAGCTTGTTCAGAGCGCCGACCATGGAATAGGTTGTCGACGAAGTCACGCGAACACACCAAGCGGAGGTGTAGGAGATGAACACGGACGAGAGACCGGAGAGAATCATGGCGAATAAGATGCCATTGCGATCGGCCGGGGGAAAATTGCGCGCGATGTTTGCCGACGACCAGTCCTCCATCAAGAAGGTGAGAACCAGAAGCACAGGGATTGACAGAAGATTGTTGTAGAACATGGCTAAATGAGGCATAAGGTTAGACGCGAGCTCCAAGATTTCGTAGCAGAGATATAGAAACAAGAAGGGACATACTGTCAAAGTCCTTGAAGTTAGTCAACTTGATTCGCTTGCGCATTCCCAGGACGTAGGACGAAGTGCAGAGACAGTTGATCAACATCCAAATATAACCAGCATTGAGAGTCGACACCTTAGCAGTAGCGTCTCCACTACTTTCAACTGCATGCTTGATATCGGCCCACGCAGCGATGATGGAACTGAGGACCATGAGTCCAAACGAAAAGAGAGTCATGCCTGTCACCGAACCGCCAAACCAAAGCACCTCTCCGTAGGCGATTAGGATGATGGTCAGATTCTTAAAGATGGTGTACACAGGGATTGATAGATATTGCAGTGCCTTGGAGCCGGTGTAGATCATGCCAATCAGAAGCAGAGTGATCGGAAACCCTGGCCACAAAGAAGGCCTGTCAGAATGCTTTCCTTGAAGATACCCAACGACGGAATGGGATGCTTACACTTCTTGGCCTCATCCGAATTGAAGTCGCGATATGTAATCAGTTTGCTAGCCTTGCATGTTTGAATCGCCACAATACAGACAATTGACTGGAGTGAAACGACGTTGTCAGCTCAGGCTTGGTGACTTCTACGCCCCGGCAAATCTGACCAACTTACCTGCACGCAAAGGAGGAAGAAATTGAGATTGAAATCCGTGCCGGAAAGGACATATTTGTTCATGACAGTCATCAAAATAGACGAACCGCAATAAGCCAGCACAGGCAGGATGGGATTATTGGTAAGCTGCGCAGCTGGAGGACCTCTGGGCTGAACAGCAGGGGCGGGCGCCTCGAAATTCTTATTGCCGTGATCTAACTTATCCATCTCGATGGTATACTCATTCGTTTTCTTGTCGTCCGCCATGGTGGGAGACTGAGAACCGGATTCGAAGACCGAGGAAACAACAAGGAAATATCCGGACGAAATCGAGGAACGAAGGGGAGAATGCTTCAGTGGCACAAAACAAATTGCTGATGAGTCGGATTCGTGAAGGAGAAAGGTAAGATGAACGCAAAAACGAGTGTGAGAAGCAATGAATGATAACACAATATATTATATAGGGAAGAGCCTTGCTTCCTTGTCCACTTCCTTATGTTCCTCCTATTTGAATGAGGTATGTAAGGGAAGGGGGGTTGGTGGGAAATAAGCAGAAGTCCTGATAAGATGAGAATGGTGTATGGAAGAAATATAATCAATCAAATGTTATTATTTTCATTACAGAGGTGTTCCTGTTGCTATTTTTTAATTATGAATAATAATGAAGAGAATTTTCTGCCTCATGATCCAGGCCGCCGTCCCGGAAGCGGCATCCAGGAGAAGGTACGTTGAAAACGTGTACAGGTAATGTACCTGATAATTACATACATCACAAATTACAGTATATTCCATAAGGTACGTTAATATAATTGATACACAAGCACCCAAGCAATGGATAGAAAATACTGGAGCACATTCGAGATTACTGACAAGGTGCACATTCCACCACTGATGGGCGAGGCTACTTTTGATGATAGGATTAAGGGGAAATTTTATGTTGAGACTTTTCTCATATCTGAGCAGTAGGACTCAACCTCCGTATTGATCGTTATGGGTTGTATCTCCACTGTGCCCTTAACTTTACAATGACAATCGTTTGCTTTTATCAACCAACCCCTTTTGAGTTCTCAAGACACTTCGAACCATGAATTCATCTGCCTCCTGAGCGTTCTTCTAGAACCTAATTCGACTAATAGGTCTAGAGAACAGACCTGTCAGCGCCATGAATCAAGATTCAGAGCAGAAGCACCACCCCGCTCGAGATCTAGACGACGACAATGACGACGATTCCCTGTTCGAAGCGCTCGAGAACGAGGATGACTCGGCCTATCGTGCGCATCGCATTGACCAACTCAATGCCGAATTTTCTGCGGCCAAAAACAATCGATCCTCTTTCCGCGATCCAGCAACCACCCTCGTTGAAGAAGGCCTCTACCCTACTTTGAAAGACGACCAAGCCGTGCTAGACTTCACAACACAGACCCATCGTTGTGTCATCCATTTTGCCCATCCAGATTTCGCCCGATGCGGGGTCATGGATGAGCATATCCGGGCGTTGGCAACGCGACACCATGAGGTGCGCTTCGCGCGCGTCGACGTGCGCAATACCCCCTTCGTGGTGGACAAGCTGAGCATACGAGTCCTTCCTTGTATAATTGGGTTCAAGGACGGGATTGGTGTCGAGCGTGTGGTCGGATTCGAAGGCCTTGGAGAAGGGGGGCGGGACGGGGCTGACAGCTTTAATATCGCGACTCTGGAAAAGCGGCTGCTTTGGAAAGGGATCCTCGCCCAGACGAAGTTCAAAAACAGTGAGGATGATTCTGATATATCTGAGGGTGGCAGTGGCGACGAAGGCTCCAGCAGGAGACGGCCAGGTACTGGGCGACGGACTATTCGGAGCGGAAATGGACGACATCATGGAGGCGATGATGACGATGACGACGACTGGGACTGAGATGGCAGTATGTACCGTTAAGCTCTTTTCCACAACAGCATGACCAAGTTGGTCTGTCTCACCTGAGGAGAACAGCCATAGCTCTGGCTTGCAAATCACAATCTGGTGTGCAAATGATTATAGACATCTCAAGTGTCCAAGGCATATGCAATTAGGCTAATTACTGCCACTCATAAGCATGTTTGGGTGCCTTGTACAGTGAGACTTAGGGGGGAAATGGAAGAATGGTGTCTTCCCCGTCCTCTCGTAATGAGAAGTTAGGTTTTGCCATGTCAAACACATAATGGGAGACAGCAACGCCGGAAAGGCCATTCAAAAGCATATGAAACTTCTTTCTTTTACTAGCCGCTTGAAGAGAATCGCCACATAGGAAAACGAGTAGGAGGACCCTTCAATCATGAGAGACAAGCGGCAGGTCAATCGGCTAATATTGAACCTAAACTGCATGATCATTGAGTAAAGTTACAGGCAATGTGGCTCAAGGCGAATGAGAAACAGGACCGTCTTCGGAAAAAAGAAATCGAATGCTCCATGGAAGCATGGAAATGCCGTATGAATAACAGAAATAACAAGGAAAATTTATACAAGCGGTTCAAACCAGTCACACCACATCCGCCTACCGCTAGAGGAAGCTATTGTTCTTCAACGGGTAAAGTCAACGAGAGAAAGGGAATAGAAACCGGCCGCGTAGCGTTGGCACAAGGGTGCTCGCAAGAAACAGAAGCAAAGAGCTCAGGAAAGCAGGCCTAGATGGCTATGTTCTTCATTTCCCCCAAGACCTCAGCTTCCGAGACCGCAGTTGTCCCTTGGTTAGACTCACGTCTCTGCACCTTTTCTGGTTTGGGTGACTTCTGCTCGTCATACTTATCTGTGAGGTCCTGATTTTCCTTCCCAGAGATTTGGGGTGTAACCACCTCCATCAGATCATCGGTTTCAGGCTCCTTTCTATTTTCTTTGGAAGCATCCTCGGGCATCTCAACTTCAGCGCTTGTGTTCACAGGACTCGTCGCTTCTTCTGTGACACGAGCTAGAGGACTCGAAACGCCGAACTGCGTCTTAGGGCTCTGAGTAGAACCGCGGTTGGGAAATCGGTGAGGAGACCGGCCTCGTTCTTCACTAGGTGTTGGGCTTCCATACGGGGATTCTTTCCCGGGTCGGCTGTTCGTGTTGAGTCCCAGTCCATTTGGCGCCTTGCGCCGAGGGGCTCTTCTGCCATATTTCTGGTCTGTCCTCCAACGCAGAATCTCCAAATAGGGCGGCTCAACATTCTGACCCTTGAATTCCAACAATTTAAGTTCGTTCGTCTCCTCATCTACGTTGACCCTACCACTGCAGATATCATCAGCGACCACAGCAAGGAAAGCAGCCCAAGAGCGAGCGACAACGTATTTGCAGTCGTAATCACGACCGAAAATGATGACCTGACCCCATTTCCCGGCGGGGCCAGGGGCCAAGTCAATCGCAATATTGTTTCCACCCCAATCACGAGCAAGAGGGATCCAGGCAGGGTGTGCGTATGCCTTCTGTACAGCGCCTGGAGGTTGTGAGTCCTGGCGGTCCAGAAGTTCTTGTCTCCAGAGAGGATTCGGGCCTTGCGAAGGAGGTGCCGCAGAGGATGAGCTTGCTGTGGCTTTCGGGGGAGGATTCATCATGGTGGAGTTGCTCAGAAACTCTTCATTAACGGTCCTCCAGTTCTTCCATTCCTGAACGATTTCCTCGCAGTCTAGAAGCATACATCCGAAGATAACGCCTGTGGGGAGGCCAGGGCGCTCTTGACCGTCGTGGATCATGAGGGACTCTCGCACCTCCAAGGGCAGGCTGCAATCCAATTCATGCTCCAACTCATTTATATCGTTTTGAGTGCACCCCTCGCAAAGATTATCGTATAGCTCTTCGTAATTATTTTCCAGCCATCGCTCAATTTTCCGCCATGAATGGACCACCGGGGGCGGAGGCGGAGCTCCGTCATGGAAGCTTTGCATCTGAATCTCCGGGGCACCATCTGCGCCACGTTCAGTTGATCGCCGCTTCTGGGAAGAAAGCGACCTCAGTCCTGGGGAATAGGGACGGTTAGGAGAACCAACTCCGGTAGGGGAACCCGTCCACCCGTTAGAGTTGGAACTTGTAGACCCTTTCGGTTGGTCATCCTCGAATGTATCAGTCAGATCCGGTCGAGACTCAATGGCGCTCGTCGCAATAGATGTGAGGGGCTCATGGCGGCTTTGACTCAAAGGTACATGTCTTCCGGTCCGATATGGGGAGTCGTGGGACGCATGTCGATCATAGGAGGTCATCGTATGCCAAAAGGAGCGCCATGCTGAACCGAAGCTGCTCGAATAAAATCAGACAATTCGCTCAATATCTTTGAGTTCGGATGTATTATGTAGATTAAGAAGGGCTATCTTCTTTTCTTGATTCCTCAGGGGAATTTCAGACAAGTGCGAAGTAGAACTTACGCGTTCGACATGTTGGGAACCTCCACAGCACTAACACCAAGCCGAGGGCGAACTGAATCTAGAAAGTTTGGGATACTCAAGTGTACCGAATGTGGGTCATTTGATTACTGACGCTGGAGGTCAGATAGGAGAAAGGTGATTTGGGACGGAGAAGATAGAGAAGAAAGGGCGAAACGACCAAGACTTTTTCCCCCTCGAGCAAGGGGAAGCGGAGGGGATGCGGTAGAAAGCGCTTGATCCTTTTAAGTTTCCTGATGGAATAAGGAGAGATAGGACGGCAAGTATGGAGTGGTATGGCTGCGTGGATGATATAGAGAAGGAAATATCAACAACGAGAAACCTGATGGAAGTATATGGATTCCAGACGAAAAGAGGTGATGCCGATGATTATTAGTAGTTGATCGACCTTTATGGCACTTGGACAATTGAAGACAAGCCAGAATGCAGAAAGCGGTAGGAATCCTTCACCCAGAAGGAGACGAGCCCATGCGCCAACTGTTATTTTCAAAGACCAATAACAGAGGTAGCTATTTTAACGATCTGAACAAGAGATATGTAGATAAATTATTATCGCTAGGAGACAGGCAATATTCAGGGAGTCTACCAATGTCTCTGTAACTATGGTTGTACGGAGGACCACCGCGGTGAGTACGTATCCTTCACTTTCCCTTCCGCCGTTTTCAACACTTCGTATCTCGAATGTCTACTTTGCTCCTCTTCAATGTCCTCTACGGAGGCTAGCTTTAGCGCGTTCATGTGTGCGTGTTTGGACTGCGGATATTTGGACGAGCCGGTTATCCATGCTTCGATCATTCATTCGCCTTGAGCCCCTGGGACTGTGGAAACTCTCATTTCCTTTTAGGTAGAGTTGACCGACCCATCCATAGCTAATAGTTAACTACTAGTATACAGAGTAGATGATAGGTTCATAGAGAATCAAAGGTTGGTTTGATACGCACTATGTAGAGGACTGACAGACACAATCTAGATAATCCATATGCCACTGGCAACAAACAGCTGAAAACAATCGACCGACACCATTCTGGATGGACCTGCATTCTCCTACCCCCAACGCCTTCCGCTAATAGAACAGTTAGTACACTCAACACTCACAATTGCGGCGATAGATACCGAGATCTTGTGGTGAACTAGGCCGGCTGGAAATGGCGTAGGAAATCGGACGTGAACTGCCTTAAAAGTCAAGACCTGGATCTCTTGTTCCATTGTAAGTCTAACCAAAGTTACAGAGAACTGTTTCTTAACCGGTGGCGTTTTAGCGAAATAATCATCGACAGGCAATTTTAAATGGAGTAGATAGATGCTCATCACTCCATATTCGCCTCTTTATAATCCCTGGTTCCCCGGGCGGCTGACTCAGACACTTGATTGTCCCTTAGGTGAATTTCAAACATTTCCTACCAGGATATGTTTAAGTATTCGCCATGCGTTGGAGTCGTAAGATCTGTCTCTCAAGACAGAATCTAACCTGTCATCTTCACAAGGCAGCGAATACAATGCCAAACCAGTGGACCCATGAAACTAACCAGTGGCATCTATTATTAGGTAACCACCGGGGCGGGGAACGAATGGCACTCTACCTTAGGTATGAAGGCTAGGTACCCACGGTACCTAAGGTAGGTAGGGACCTTCTACGGGGGCTTCCATACAGGTTCTGGACTCGGCCAACCTCACGGTATATGTAGGTACCTTAAGGTAATTTTTATGATGTATTTACTCGGTATTACTGTTACAAACGGATTACACCGAGCGTCTAGCTAGACAAGTTCGTTAAGGTACTAAAGAAACAGAACTCCTTTAAGAGTACGTAGCGGGCATTGTAGACAATATACCCACATTGACTTGACCATGGATCCCCTCTTCCCTAAACTACTCCTGCACCTACTTTGTAGCGCTGTATTAGCGGCAACTCTACTCTACAAATGATGGCCACCAGAATCACAGGCCAACGGTACCAGAGCGGGTGCTGAGAAGGATGTGCATGACTGAGCATGCATCTCCAAGACGAAGACTGAATTTCTTTGCGAAAACTGCGTATAGTGATCGACATGGCGTAAGAGTGACTCGAAGCCATCAAGCTTAAATAGCCAACACACAAAACAGAATATGAGGTAAATCAGGCTAGTCAAATAACGGACTTGTGACACCACAAATCCACTATTGTAGACTCGACCTCGAAGCAAATGCGACTAGCTTCTCACAGCCAGTCTAACCGGAAATGACAGAGGTAAAGCGAAGATGTTGTAAATTGGAAGGGCAAGCGAGCAAAGTTGAGACTGTGAGGCTTCATGGCGCCAGCTGCACACGTTATGCACACGTCAGAGAGACCAAGGGGCAAACGAATTCATGAAATTCAAGGCAGAGGTGGACTGTCCCAAACAAGGCACCTAGAAAACTCTCAAAGGCAACCGGACTCCGGGTTCGATGCAATAGAGGGTATATAGACGCCCCACGAAGGACCCATAAACCCCGCCATTCAAGAGAGCAATAGCTGATGCCAAAAAAAGATTTGCAGAGATAACTCCATTAGATCCCATAGCGAGAAAAAACATCAGTGAAACTTAGGCATAGGAAAGAGACACAGAAAACAAGAAAGAAGATTGAGAAAAGAAGGGAACAAAAACAAGCAATAGTGAGAAATCAAATAGAACGCAGGGCGCAAAGACGCGCTACAGTCCCCGCCGGAATCAATATCGTTCATCATGTGTTCAATCGATCAATCATGAAAACAAAGAAAGTTCTCTCCCGGGTGTATCGTGCAGTTATATCGTCTTAAACCCGTGCGCCAAATCCAACATTTAACGGAGAAGCCCGACAAACGTCAACGTCAAGCGAACGAGCTCTGAATACCGTTCGACGGAAAGCTGGGATTAGCATCGAGTTTCAAAATTCTCCTCAAATCATCTTCCATCTTCTTTGTATCGAGAGGGGGAGCGGAAGTGTCCGCTGGTATTGCCCCAGGCTTGAAGGACTGGGGATGCGGTGGAGCGTAACAGGCTGGCTGCTGCGCAGGGGGTTGAGAGAACTTCGATGACCTATAGGTCTCAAACGGCGAGGGGCTTATCGGATTCATAGAATTCGCTGGAAAGATTCCTTTCTTCATTGTCGAACTCTGAGGTTGTTGGACACTGCTGGAATAATAAAAAGGGGATTGTAGCCCACTCTCGAAAGTTGACCGGCTCTGTTCAGGCGGCATGTCCGAAAAAAGGGTCGCTGGCGGACCCGAACTAGTCCTCATGGGAGTCGCGTAATGAGGTACGTTAGGGCTGAGATTTGGTCGCGTAGTGTGACCAACGGCTTGATTATGGTTTAGAATAGACGCAGTTGAGGGCCTCTGGGGTCGTGGATTCAGCAGCAGATCCTTGAGAGCTTCAGTCTTCGCTCTTCGTTCCTCCTCGTGGAGCTCCGGTGTTGGAGAAGAGGGCGAGCTCGAAGATCGCAACGCGTCCATGCGATCTTTGTAGGACGTGGCGAAAGAAGGCCCGATCTGAGAGTTCCGTCGGCCTGAATTTTCCATCTCTAAAGGAAAAATACCCGCGGAGGCTCCGTTTTTACAGCTGGGTATCTGGTGACGTTGAACTTTAGAATCTGTTCGCGGAGACCGAGTGCCAATATTGGCTTCGGGACTCCGCTGAAGCTGAGAGTTTCTGGCTTCAACAGCAGCTTTGAATAAGAAATCAAGAGGTGTCGACTGTGATTTTTCCGACTGAGGTTGAAAACGTGACCGCGGCTTTGACGGTGTAGTGTCCAGTTCGAGACCAGCTTCGAGATGGTCCCCGTCGATTTCCTGTGCGGGGTCTGATTCTGGCACAGACTTCGAGAAAAAGCTCGGAATTGGGAGCGCCGAAGGAGCAGGCGACGCATGGAATGTTGGGCCCGCATAATGAGGGCTGTCTTTGACTTGGGGAGTACTGCTGGCTGGATGCGAGGATGTGTGTCGGTGTCCGTTGTTGTGCGCTGGCGAGGGTTTAAGGGCGTCGCGTGGCTTTCTGTTTGAGCGGGGATTCTTTCTCTTAGAAGGATTATGAAAATTAATAGATGTATCGGTAACTGGCTCTCCAGGACTCGAGTTCCTCGGTGGCGATGATGGAGGGGTAGTGAGCAAAGCCACCTTCTGGTTAGAAGGGGTGGTTGTTTTCTTCGGGTTGCGCCGGTTGCTCCGAGATCCCTTGGGCGTCGGAGGAGTAGGAGATGTACTCGACATTGCGAATAGATGGCTTAATAAATAGGCAGCCTTTGGAGATTCGCGTAAGAACTTGAAGTGGAACTGATCAATAAAGAGCGAGGTCACGGATAAGAATAACAGCAATGACGGATAAAGCCGAGTCACCGTGATACTGCCCAGCAGTCGATATCAGATACTTCAACGCTAGAAAAACACAGCAAGAGATGACGATATTGATTTCAGAACGTCAAGAGAAATGCAATGGCCAATGCTGTCCGGTCAAGGAAAAGAGGGCAAGCTGAACACAAAGTAAAGAAGGATGGTCTATCAGTCGAGCAGGTTTAGAGAGTCGCAATGGAAGTGACAGGTCGAAACACTTGAGCAGGCGATAGATCTAGATAGGCGAATGCAAGGAGAGAATGGACGCAGGGTAGAGACGCATGTTTCTAGCTGTAGACATTTGAAGTTGGAGTAAACTGGCAAGTGAACGAAACGAACCTTGGGAAGGGCGGGAAGAAGTCGGCTGGGGGAGAGTCAGGGAACTCTAAGTGGGGATCTGCGATGACTAACAGTGCCCAAGCAAACATTAAGTGTGGTCAGGTTATGGAGTAGACTCTACGCCACTTCGGCCTCATTTGGTTCTTGCAAACACAATCAAACAGGCAGTTTCATCTGTCGTGAGGCTCCCAAAACAGCCGCTCCATCTCTTATCAACAGAGGCGCAAGTGCGCAAGATCAGATCATCTCTTTCTCGTTCTACAGCAAGTGGTATGTACCCAACTCCTCAGAGGACCTCTTATCAGTTCTATACTCCTAGTAGAGAGGTATATCGCCAGAAAACTTACGTCAGTACCTAGTCTTCACCGCAACATCCGATAATACCCTGGCATCACTCCCAACTACCTAATTTGAGATTATTGGCCCCTCCTTTGACCCTTTCACAAAACTGCAGTGAGCCTCGGCATCTCCTAGAACGTCTCACTAGGTAGCTAGGGTAAGGAAGATATATCACGATGGCGGATGTGGAGATGAAGGAGGCAACCGCGGGGGCCTCAGCCAAGGGCAAAGGCGTGTCGAAGGGCTCAGAAGGGGCTAGTGACGGCAAGAAGAAGTTCGAGGTCAAAAAGGTACCACTGAATCGATGCATACTTGTCATTTCTGAAAAAGGCTGGTCTAATATACGATTGACGCAGTGGAATGCCGTCGCTTTGTGGGCCTGGGATATCGTCGTCGACAACTGTGCAATCTGCCGCAATCACATCATGGATTTATGTATGTCTTTCACGCCGTTATTTTTGTTTGATGGATGCTCATCTGCTTCGCACAGGTATTGAGTGTCAGGCGAATCAAGGTTCATCAACAACTGAGGAGTGCACAGTAGCCTGGGGAATTTGCAACGTAGGTTTCGCTTTAGTGACTGCTTCTCTTCATCTGGGGCTAACAAATGGTTTGCCTCTCAGCATGCATTCCACTTCCACTGCATATCTCGCTGGCTCAAAACCCGACAAGTTTGTCCTTTGGATAACAGAGACTGGGAATTCCAGAAGTACGGCAGGTAGATTAAAGATACGGGATTTACGCAAGTCTCAGTTTGTGATTGCCCCTTTTCATCTCGCACAACCTAGAATACGGACTCTATCGATCGTTCTAGAATTTGAATCGACATGCGGAAGGACAGTTCGATGGCGGGAAGCGAACCGCGTTGGATGGCGTTCACGGTTTTTCATCAAACGTTGCTTGGCCAGAGCCTTTGATGTGCACATTCAAACTCGTCACGATCGCAAAGATGAGATTGATTGGTACTCGTTGCTCGGTCAAAGGGATTAGTAGGAGATTATGCAACTTTGACACCGTCAACCATGATGCCTGGGCCACCCGCACTCCCTGTCGTGGGAACAAGCCATTTCTCAGGATGCTTGTTGTACATAGGCCAAGGAGGGATAACAGCCAATGCCGTCACTAATGTGCCCGCCAAACCAGTCCAGAGCGTTAAATGTATATCTTCGTAGATGTATCCGATGAGGAAAGCAGCGACCTTTAGGAATGAGGAGAGCTTGTAAGTAAACGAACACAAGTGAACATGGGGATGTAACGAGAGAGCGGTTATATTGATCTTGAATCTGTACTTACTCCTGAAATGATCAAAAGAGCTGTAGAAAGCAGTTCGGCGATGCGCTGGCCGTGGAAATCCTAAATCAGCAAGTTGCCAGATTAGCTTCTAACCCCAGTGGCTAAACAAGACTAATCAAACACGAGTGCGTCCAGGAGGCAACAAACAATTTGGCCTTCGAAAGCATCCTGAATGGGCGCAAGAATATCATCCATAACGAGATATTGCAAGTAATGACTATTATCTGGCTGTCAAATACTCAATATCGGTTTTCGGGCTAGGAATGAAGCTCCAATAACGGTAGAGTTGTTGATCGCCCACAAGGCAGAGCGGATCAAGACTGGCCCGCCCGGGGTTGGCTTGACCGCCTTTGGATAGGTACAGCTAAGGCGGTAACGCCTGAGAGGGGGTTGGATAGGTATATGCCCAGATATATATGCTCTATCTTTTTTTTTTTTAAACACCAAGTCACTTGTACATGCCAAGGCAGAGTTTTCGACAAAATTTCAAAAAAGTACTAAGATTCTCATTTGTGATGAGACCTGAGCTGGGGTAGGTAAACCCTCCCGGGCTCGGATATTGGCCTGCCCATGATGCATGTAATGAGTCGAGCGACGCCGCACAAGGGCAGAAAATTAGCCCAGCTTAGACATTAACAGGCTTTCGAAAATATTATACAAAACCATGGAACATCTCAAAGAGGATGCCACCTGTCGTCTAGTATATTCCTCTCTTGCTTCCGTTGTCGTAGATATATTGAGTAACGAAGCCTCAACGACGTACTGTGGCGCCGTCTTGGGCAGGCTCCAGTAATTTCCACTGGCAGGAGATGTCGTTGGAAGTAAAGTAGGACATAATGCGGTCCGCGATTTCTTCGAATCTGTCGGTGGCTAGAGCCAGAATTGTAGGTCCTGCACCGGATAGACAAATTCCAAGCAGGCCCGGCTGGGTAGATGGGTTCATGGACTGAAGAATCTCTGTCAAGCCTGGGATAAGTGTCTTCCGGTATGGCTGGTGGACCTTGTCCTGCATGGCCAGGTAAATCATATCTGGGTCTGGCGGAGAGCTGCCCAGTGCTGCGGGAAGCAATGCGGCACGTTGTAAATTGAAAACCTAGCGAAGACGATGCGAATTAGACCGACGAGAGGCGCATCGCCAACCATTTGTCATACGAATGGTTGAGACGGGTGGGACTTACGACGTCTGCTCTCGTGTACGTGGTAGGTAGGACGTTTCGTGCATTGGCAGTGGGCACCACAAAGTCCGGGATAATTGCGATGGCCTTGATTTCCTTGGCCCATTGAAACTTTCGATAATGTCCGATGCCCAGAGGAGGCTCGGGGGGTCTCCTGCCAGTGTCAATGCCACCTGCCGGGGCAGGAAGAACTTCACTGAGCGGGATTTCCTTGCGGGCTACATCCTCAGGTTTCAGCTCATTCAAATAGGTACCGACGAAGCCTCCAAAGAGTGAGGCAGCGACATTATCCGGGTGCCTCTCTAAAGAAGAAAGATAGCCATCAGTAAGAAGGTCAAATATGATATGTCTTATGTGCAACTCAAGCCATATTCAACCCGTGTGGGCAACAAAGCCAGGTTTACCTACCAATCATCAAGCAATAATCCAGTAGCCTGTCCTTGCTCAACCCGAGACGACCTACTTCATTTCCCAACATCACGCCAGCAACCACCGCTGTGCCTGACGAACCAAGACCCCGACCCAGAGGAATGGGATTTACAATATGGACTCGGGTCTCAACAGGAAATGCCCTTTGGTCATGGCATCTAAGTACGTACAGAGCTACACGGGTGATCAGGTTAACCTCCGGGTCCAGGCTAATCTTCTCAGTACTCTTGCTCTGATCTTCATACGTAATCACACAATTCAAAGGGTGCTCGGACGATGATTTGGAAGAGTCAATGGTGACATGGAGCTCGAGGTGAAGAGACAATGCTAGGCCGATGACATCGAACCCGGGGCCGATATTGGCCGATGAACAGGGCGTTCTGATAATAAAGGAGACAGACATCGCAGTATCAGGGATGTAAGTTATGGCCAGATCAACAGTCTGATTGGAAAGGCATGAAAGAAAGACAGGAGTGTGAAAGGAGAAATAATTGGATCAGATGAACAATTTGGCTGGTATCTGTCGATACTGAGCAGCAATTATAGTTGAAACTACCTAGGGAGGAGTGACTCGTTCAATTCTTGGCACACATCGCAGGGGAAAAAAAAAGGTAGCCGACGTCGGGGCTGGATGGAAGGTTACTTAGTACCTCTCTACCTCTTATGGCCTACAGTTATTATCATTATTGGCCTGCAAAAAAACAAAGCCTGATAATAGCAGAAAGCACTTTATAGGCTTTTTTTATTTTTTTTAGTATGAGAGTGCATAGTTATTTGTAGAGTCAGAGTAATGGACTTAGGCTATTTGGTATTATTATTTTCTGGAAATTATTGTTCATCATGATCTTATGCATGACACTACATATCATTTTCCCTAGTCCATACCTTATCTATCTACCTCACCTAGACAGTGATCAGAAATGCAGCGACCCTGACTGCTAATCTGGTGATTGATGTTTTAAGACTACTGCGGAGGGATACCTTTCGGATATCAGCCCTATGACACGATCATACTGGTATTGTGCAGATATATGGAGGAATATTTCGTATTCTGCACAGTACATCCTAACGAATATATAAAGTAACACAGATGACACGGATAGTAAATCTTAGCAATTATACGAACTGCAGTTGTGATACTAGAATGAAGAAGACGAGCTGCAGTTCGCCGCCATATTAATTTATTATCTAATTAGAAGTGTTGAAGATATCTTAAGTCTTCTAGCTTCCACGTGTACCGGTATGATTTATGATTCTAGATTCGCCCCGACTACTTGATTCTGGCATAGATAGTCATTTTAAAGAGAACCCAGTACAGGAAAATCTTTTCTGGTGATAGAATTTTCACGTAGGACCGGGAGAATGTCCCTAAACGGTAGGCGGTTGGCAGGTAGTCTTCATACCTATTATCCTCTGTAGAAAGGTACATGACCGTAGGAACGGGGTAACTGCTGCCTTATTCCTAGGGTATTTGTTTTATTATTACTGACATTTACCTCTACTTAACCATCCCTCATGGATGGAGGTAATTGTAAGTTCTCGCAAAAAAAGAAAAGAAAGATAAATGCTGCTCAATTTTGACATCTACCACTACGGAGTATTTCTTAGACAACTGAACTGTCTCACATCCAGTGGATAAAGGTAAGTTACAACGGATGCGCTGTAATATTCCCGTTATGGTACCATACGATTAGCTTTTTGCCCCTCTTTTTTTCACTATTTTTTTTCCCTCCTTTCCCCATTGTATCAGTGACCTTAGTGTGGTTACCTTTCCTTAAAAACCATCGTCCAGTCTTCCTGTCTTTCCACCTCGAGGACTACTCATTTCAACCCACGTGGGTGTACACCCTTTCCAACTATTTAACTATTTGTCTTTATAGGATTACAGTATCCTATTTATTTCATTCGATTGGATTGTCTTTGATACTGTCTCTGCGTGCAGATCGGTTGTTTGGCCGTTCAGCATCTCTGCTTGGTTGTGGACTGAACTTACCAGTTTCTGTTCCCTTCGGAAAAGCCCTCCGCATCACACAACTCTGCTCATTAACCCATCGCTGGGTTTGAAAATCCTTGTATAATCGTCTCTTTTTGATTTGCGCATATACCGCTTTTACTGGATTGCTAGTTTTTGTTCTTGGCTGGCTTTTTGTTGACTCTTACGAGCTATATTTCGCTCTTGTTCCAGCGGGATTCCTGCATTAACGTCATCGGCAAAAGGATCTGCGGTGTATCTCGACAAACCTCTGTAAAGAGTCCACTTGTCGACACAACACCCTCTATTATCGCAATCCTGGAGCGACAAGGCTCCTATCCTCATTACACAGTCAAGTTGGCGGGGACTCGCTGCAACCGGACCTCTTTCCTCCACCCTCTTTTGGGCCCCAAGTTCAGGGTCTTCTGCGGGGGCGACACCAGACCCCCATAACTAGGCTTACATAGCAAATTCTCAATTCTGGCACAAACAGGTACATCGGGAATGCCAGGCCCTCTAGAGGGGTCTGGCTAATGGATGGAGGAGCGCTATTTTTCGGAGTGCCTTCATTGTCTGTCGTCCTTCCTCGCTTGAACGTCAAGAAACGAATCAATCACCTCCACAAAGCCCTCACACCTCCGCTTTTCCTAACGTCATCGCTCGACCAACTCTTAATACCCGTGCTTGCGACGAAGTCAAACCAACAACAATGTCTGAATCACCTAAGTCCGAGAAGTACATGTGCCTGACCCGGTTCAGCACGCCAGTTCCCGAATTAGATGATCATCGATTCCAACTCGATTCCCCACCTCGGATCGAAGCTACTGCTGATATCTCACTGAGTCGGCAAAACACTACTCAGCATGCCTACCCTCAAGAGACGCCTCAGCGACCCGATTTGCTCTCAATTCAAGATGCGCTTCGGGAAGCGGGGTCGCTTTCCCGGGATTTCGAGCAAGCTATACTGGACGATGATCGATCAGGCAAAGATGTCAATACTCTGGGCCGTCGTTTCTCCGTTGACCTAACCGGTAATGTCCGCCATGGCCGTACGTGGAGCCGAACCCACCAGGAACTTGCGAATATCTCACGGGAATCATCTCCCTCAGCTAGATCATCGTCGCCTCCGAATTCGGTTGAAGCGTTCGCAGACCCCCGCCGCCGCGAGCGTGCGAATACACTGGAGAGCCATGCGGCTCCAGATCTCGAGGCCATTCTGCAGCGCACAGTGTCCGGAGGCACTCATCCCCGCCGTCCGACGTTTAGTAACGCAAGTGCTATTAGACCGCAACCAGGCGATATTCAGCTAGAACCAAGTGACGAGACTTGCGTTCCGACTTATGAGCAGCCTGGCAGGATCCCGGTGATCGACTACGAGGAATTGGAGGAATTTGTGGCTCTGAGCCGGCAAATGAAGCCCTCGACTACTCGGCGTAAGCAGAGTCTAAGCTCTCAAAGTCGGGGACCTCGCATTTTCTATGATCTGCGTCCAGGGGTTCGGAAGTCTGATGTTGAAGGTGAGAAGCGTTCTTCGAGTGCTGATCGCTCTTGTTCGGACCTCATGGACGCGGATTTGAAGACAGCCGATAAGGTCTATGCGAACGTCGTGGATGGAAAGGACATAGTGGAAAAGCTTCAGAATGAGAACGAGCCGACCCGCTTCGGCTTTTTCTCATCCGAGTCCCAGAGCACTGTGCATGCGGCGGAGCTAGGGGACCTTGTGCTCCCTGGTGATACTTTCCGGGATCTCTTTCAACTTGGCCCGGAGGGAGGTGTGTGGTGGTTGGACGTACTCAATCCAACGGAGGAAGAAGTTGCCGCACTCTCGCGGGCTTTTTCCATCCATCCACTGACTACGGAAGATATCTTGACTCAAGAAGCCCGTGAAAAGGTTGAGCTCTTCAAGCAATATTACTTTGTCTGCTTCCGGACATTCTATCAGCTCGACAAGACAGACGAACGCTTCATGGAGCCCGTCAACTTCTACATGGTTGTTTTCCGCGATGGTGTTCTCTCATTCTCATTCACCGAGAATCCACACGCGGCAAATGTCAGGAAGAGAATTGGGAAACTCCGTGATTATGTGTCCCTCAGTAGTGACTGGATATGTTATGCCATGATGTAAGTCGCAAGGGCGTGATTCCTAATGAGACCATCTGTACTAACGTTGGCACAGTGACGACATTGTTGATAGTTTTGGGCCTGTCATCCGAGAGATCGAGATCGAATCGGAGGCAATTGAGGACCTCGTTTTCATCGCGCGCGTCGACGATTTTGAATCCTTCTTACCACGGATCGGTGGCCTTCGTAAGAAGGTTATGAGCTTGATGCGCCTTCTAGGTGGCAAAGCAGATGTCATTCGTGGTTTCTCCAAGCGTTGCAACGAGCAGTACTCCGTCACTCCGCGTGGAGACATTGGCCTGTACTTAGGTGACATCCAGGATCACGTGGTGACCATGATGTCAAACTTGGCCCACTTCGAGAAGATGCTCAGCCGCTCACATACCAACTATCTTGCGCAGCTCAATGTCACTAACCTGGTGCTGGGCAATCATGTCAATAAAGTCCTGAGCAAGGTGACGCTGATTGCTACCATGTTGGTACCGATGAATCTGATCTGTGGTCTGTTCGGAATGAATGTCCGAGTTCCTGGTGAAGGGCAGGAAGGCCTGGGATGGTTCTTTGGCATTGTGGGGGTCATTGCAGCCGTTATCGTCCTCAGTGGCATAGCTGCTCGGTATTACAAGCTTGTTTAGATGTATAAGTTTTAGTTGCCGTCTATGTGTCCTATAATAACCAAGTATATACGGTTTTCGCTTATAATGCATTGCACTATCTGTCTTCCTTGAACTAGTCGTTAATATCTACTACTGTAACTAAAAACTACCACCCGACTGCGCACGTTGGTCTTTGCATGATAGGAGATGATACGATTATATGGAGGGTCGGTGGTGATCGAAAGTAGAAGAGTGGCTGTGCCGGTTTTGTGGCGCAGATTCCTTCGAAGTCGCGAACTATCAACAGAGGAGTGCCGCTTGTCTAGATCAGAATTTATTGAGACCGAGCTGCTTCTATTGCTTCGACAGCTCCCGCCACGAACTTCCCGCGAATGTGTCCATAGCGTTGCTTCTCGCAGGTGTCCCGCCATGAGAGAAAAGCTATTGCCTTAACTCCTGTTGATTCTGTAATTTTCGAGCCTGAGGTGGATATCGTCCTTCGGAGCTCAGTCGGTTGATGCAACTATCCATGCGGACTGATTTTTCATCTATGCATTACCTTTCAGCTGAATATTTCGGCGCCTTAATATTATTATACGGCCCTCTCTTTCTCGTCAAGCCGTGCCTTGCTCTTGATCCGCCCTCGGACTCCGCCCTCTTGATCTCCAGCAACGACACGAATGTAATTTACCACGACATCGCAGAACAATTCACATTCCCCCATGGATCATACAGTGGGCTTGAGGTTCAGGATACCGTGAGCGAAAATGGAGAAACTCGAGGTCTCGACCTTATTCGCCGGGTTCCGCCTGGCGTATCATCTCTAGGGAACAATCAGTTCAAGACCAGCGATATCAAGCTCGGAGAGACTCAATGGTGGTATTTTCCCAAGGAATCCGTGAATGGCAAGAAATCTAACGTCACATCCGGGCTCCCTGAGAGGATTTCTGTTGACGGGACAAGCCAGCAAACTGTCAGTTCGGACGAACTTCGGAAGCGCGACGGAGACATCGTGAAGCGCTCGACCTCCGTATATCTCTCTTTGACGATGTGCTCGAAGCCCGAGATCAACAATACCAATGGCACTATTCCTGACTCTGTCCCTTCATTACCGGAATTGAATTTGTACGTTTCTACCTCGGAGTCACTCCAAAAACCGGGCCCGGGACAAGATAGCTCAAAGCAGGAAGTGTTCACGGCCAATGAGGGCTATGTGGGAGCTTCTGTGCAGGCAGATGGGGATATTTTCATAGGCGTCGCAGTGCAGAATTCGACGGCGTACTCGGGGGGCTACACATATGAGATTGCTGCCTCAATCGACGCTTACTTTCACAGCGTTGTGGACGAGCCATTTCTACATTTTGTTGACGCGGACATCCATGCTGCACTCTTGACAACAGACAATTTGACCCTTTCAGAAGAGGGGAGCGAGAATTATCAACAGTGGATGAATCTAACACCGCCGTTCACGATGTTTGCTCATAATGTGAATGATACGGCAATCTCAGGTCTTCAACGGTCATACTGTGCTCTTGAGCAATTAGCCCAGATTAGAGAAGGTGACCACGGGGTCGAAGGTGGGATGACGAACCGTGGTCTGGGCAAGAAACCTAAGGAGCAGTTCTACATCACCGGCCTCAACCGGACTTCCAATTATTCTGGAATTCTCGCAATGGATGGAAACTCCACCAACTCAGGGAACGGGATCGTTGGTGGGGGAGGGAGGGTCTGGAAACCCATGTACTTTGCAACCAAGTCAGGTGAGCAAGCCAACAGCCCGTGCTCTTCTTTGGTGTCGAACGAAGGTGCTGACCTGGAGCAGATGACAACTGTGCCGTCCTTTTTAACCTGACATTCTGCTCAGAAGTTGCGTATGCAGTCCCATCAAACCCTGATCTTGGGATCGCACAACTTGGTGCGAAATACGACAAATATGCCGAGTCTCTGTACAAAAACTTTTCCTATTCCCTGGATCAGATCCAATGCAACGCAACCAACGAAACCAGCTTCTCTTTGGCTGTGAGTTGCAACGACTGTGCGGATGCTTACAAGCAATGGCTTTGTGCGGTGACCATCCCCCGTTGCGCCGACTTCTCGAGCAACGGTGTGTTTCTCCAGGTCCGAAATGCGGGCCAACAATTCATCAACGGCAGCTCTCTCAGCCCCACCGACCCCAGGCGCAGGGATCCTGCGCAGAACAAGTCGCGCAATTCCATGATAGACGATCAGATCCGCCCGGGCCCTTACAAGGAGATCTTGCCGTGCCAGGACATCTGCTACAGCTTGGTGAAGCGCTGCCCCGCCGCCCTTGGATTCAGTTGTCCCCAGGGTACGCGGCTCAATTCTGCCTACGGCCAGCGCGGTTCGAGCAGCGAGATCACCTGCAGCTATCCGGGGGCAGCGTATGACTTGAATGCCGGACGGTCCCTCCGCGAGCCTCTGGGTTGGCTTTTACTTGCAACGGGGAGCTTCTGGTTTTCTTTCTGGGCTCTCAGAGTGGACGTTTAGGTGCATTCTCTTTTTCAGGTTTCTTCCCATTGGAGCGAATCGCAGCGCAGAATAATCATGTTTTTGATCCTGGTTTCGATGATACCCTCCCTGTCTTAAGATCTATTGTTTGCTATCTGTTATTGAAAGTTTACCATTGTATAGCTAGTTGAATTGCATTTTCTACATAATTCCCATGGACTTTAGCTACCAAGATGATACAAACCCTGACATGGTTGCAACGGGGCATGGCCCCCTCCGCATGAGTGCATAGCAACCTTTTCGGAGATTGTGATCTTTTTATATCATGATCAAGAGAAGGGCATCTGCCCTGTGCGATTTAGAATAACTGACTACCCGCCTCGCAATGCAACCCACCAGCAACGCCAAACATCCCAATTATCCGGGGAGAAATCCAGCAATCATAATGTAATGGTCCAAGGGAAGAAATAAGACAGATCTTGCAGGCTCGTAGGAAGAGGTCAACAATTATTTAGCTTTCCTCGGAGTTGGAGTCCACATATTCCTCAGACTCGAGGAGGAGCTTGCTGCCGGTCGAGGTGTGCTTCCAACCTGTTGCAGTAGTTTCTGCGCCGCAGGGGTCAGAGCCTTGCCCTGTCCGCTGGACGCAGCAGCCGCAGGGGTACGTAGCCCAAAATCCAACCGAGGGCTGCTCGCGAAACGCGGCGTTACGGGCGTTCTAACCTCGCGCGCCGCCTTCTCGGCGCGTTTCGTTCTTGCTACCCGGTCGACCATGCGGTGGTGCAGTTCTTCGCGTTTACGGTTCTCCCTGATCGAGAACGGGTTTGGGGTAGAGTCGCTCGCCCCGAGCAGGCGAAGATCGTCACCTGACAAGGATGTTAACTCTGAGGTTTCCGCGGCAGCATGGTCGTAGTCCGGTTCGGGCTCGTCCTCGTCGACAAAAGCATATCCGTTAACCCGTGGCGTCTCTCCCCCGCCATATACCGCTTCGGATTCGGTGAGTCGGGGCCGGCCGGCAATGGCATCTTTGATGGCGGATATCGATGGCGAGGGAGGGACGTCGTTGCCCTCATGCACACCTGGCTCCGGTAGCCTGGTATTCTCGTGCACCACTCGCTTAGGCTCCGCGCGCGAAACCGATTCAGCCTTTTGTGAAATTGTCTCATGTGTATCCTCTATCGAAGACGGCATGAACATGAGCGAGTTCTCCGGTCTGGACTTCCACGTATCCGGCTTCGCGGGCCGGGCGTCCAGATCCGTCTTGATCGCTAGCCGTCGCTCAGTACTGCCCCCCTGTGCTGCGATGCGTTTCGCTTCCCGTTGTCGGTGGGCAATCTGCCGAGCCGTAGGAATCTTGTTTCCACTCCAGAGCCAGGCATACTTCTCCTGGCGCTTGGCATTCTGTTTGTCCAGCAGTTTATTGAACGACTCGTTGTCTTCGCTGGTGTATTTGGCCTGGAATGCCATGAGTCCCAGATTGGAGACGTCTGGGATATCTTTTGGAGCGGACTCAGACATTGCAGTCGTCGTCGTTGAGATCACCGATCTCGGCGTATCACCTTGCCAGCCGGTCGGGGTGTCATGCGGTCGTTCTGTACCATCGAGGCGCGGAACGGTGCGAGCTCTGCCGGGAGTCTTTAACAAATCCGTGAGTTTCTTTTTGGAACTCATAATCCACGCTTTGTCCTTCGATTCCAGCGCGTCTAGGTACTCCTGCTTCACTTGCTCCTCCAGCAGTCCGGGAAAGTAGTCACGAGCAATAATCTGCGATAAGGCATTCGTGTAGACATCTTCGTCCAGAACCGTGGCTGGCCGTTTGATCCGCTTCGGTGGAGGAGGAGGAGGAGGCATAAGACTTTGTTCGCTTTGACGTTTGGTCAACGCTTGCGATGGAGTGGAGGCCATATTGAACGACTTCGAAGGGTGGGCTGCGACGACGGAAAGTCAAGAAAAAGAGCCTATTCAGATGAGTGGCTGACTAAACGAGAGTCGCATGCTGATAGCCAGTGACCGCATGGTTTCCTTGTGCGTCCTTCCTGCCTTCCTTCCCCTCTTCCTTTCTTTCTTGCTTTCTTTCTGCCCTTTTTTGGAGGAAAAGTGGAAGGTTGAGCGGGTCTGGATTCTGGAGGTTGATAAGACCGCGGAAGTGGCGTCTGGCGGATAACGACGTCACGTTATTTGGGCCGATGGTTTACCCCAGCTACAGTTGTACCTATTCGATACCTTCAATGGACAGCAACTTTTCTGTACAGAACAATCAGATGGACCTGACAGCATTGCGGATAATACCTAGAATTCATTCTTCGTTTGCTTCTCTCCAAAGTTAAAACAGGAAAGCGGGCCGATCCATGCCTCTATGTGTACAGAGCTGTGTCCAAGATTCGACAAGATACGCCAACAGGACAAAAAAGCTACCAACCAGAAGATCACAACAAGGAAAAGAGAGCAAAAAGGAAAAGGCAGGAATGAACGTAGTCTGCCTTGCAAAGTACCGTATCCCATCCACCGCATTTTCCCAACCGTGCATGCCAGATAAAACACCCAGACATCTCTTCGTTTTCCCCTCCAAAACAGTCGCTGAGAAATGCAAATCGAATCTAAATCACTGACGCAGACAACACCGAGAGTGCAAGGTTGAACGAAGGTATGCAGATAATCAACAAAATTCAAGTTATATGAAGGCTTGACCCACAGCAGGATGCTAACAACAAGGAAAAGAGAATCGTCAAGTCGTGGAAGTGGTCTATGGAGCGATTGGTCGGTTTGAAAGGAGTAAGAGAAAAAAGGAAAGCACAAAAGATTGGACGGATGAAACAAGAGAGCGAAGTGACAGCAGATTTCGTCAAGGTCGATCCATGCTTTGGAGTAAAAGACGCAAATAGCGAATTGTCTGGAACAGTTTCAATTCGCTGCAGGGGTAGGGAAAAGGGAGTATGATGTCCTGCCTTTTCTTCGGTTCGGGCTCTTCAGCGGGATGGGAGGAAGGGGTGCCGAAGCATTACTCCTAGTAGTCCTGACGGTTCTTGGAACCTCTACCTCAGATGTTGATTTGGCTCTATCGTGAATCGAACCGCTTGCCCGCGCCGGGTCCGCAGGCCCGGGGCTGGAGTTATTTTCAGATCGCGACATGATCTGCGTCTCAACCTCTCGTGCCAGACTCTTGGTCTGCCGGTGGTAGCAAGAAACTTCCGTACGGCCTGCCGATGATGGTGCTGTGTAACCAGACTGCTCCGTAGAGGGCAAGTGCTCCATGGATGGCAGTTCCCGGCTGCTCGCCAGGCTATGCACCAGCTCTGGGACACTGCCCGTCGAGACAGAGGAACGATGTTTGCGGACAATCGACGCGGCACGGGAAAGTATCAGGCTCTCCTGCGAGTTGCACTTGCTGATGGGAGAAAAGCTGCTTCGGGGAGACACCGGATGGTCCATAGCGTGAATTAGTCCCTGTGAGCAAAAGGAGAAATGCCGATCAGATTCCGCATCAGCCGCTAGGTACTCCTCGTACAGAGTGTCCTGCGTCATCTGTTTTCCGAGAGCAGATGGGAAGACTGATGAATTGACCGGCTGAAAATAGTCCCCGCCGGTAGAGACGATTTCGCTCTCATACTCTGCGCTGGACGGGGTCACAGCTACTTGAGAGCTGAGTAACGAACGGGCTGGGCTGGGATCCAACTCCGGACTGGGTAAACGCGACGTGCTGAGCTGTGTAGGGTGAAGAAGCTCGACGTCCTTGCCTTCGTTTGTTGGGCCCCCACAAGCTGCTCTGGGGTCGTCATCGTTATCTGCCGAACGAGCCTCATCCAGCGAATTACCTGACCAGTCAAAGTCAAACGTTGATTCCGCCGCATGCTCGTAGCAATAATCGATATCAGCATCCCAAGACTCATAGATGGTTTCATAGGCAGGTTTGCGATGAGCGGATGATCGCCGGCGAATTGGCCCTCCAACCGCTTGGTCGGCGGCATCCTGGAACAGACGATACTGTGGAAGAGTAGGAGAGCCGAGAGCCACGGAGAACTTTCTGGAGAGCTCCTCAGCAACGCAGATGGATAGTCGAGACTTGCGACGCTGAACAGACGGGATTGGCACCTCGGCTGACGGGTCTATCTGAGAAGAGGCTGGAGGCATTGCTGTGCCGGCATCCGCCTCGGGGCTATCATGCCAGTGAGTGATGCCCTGCTCCTCCGGTACTTCTTCCAACACAGACTTGAGGCTAGGAAGGGAGACAGAGGTCTCAGCGTCTATTCTTTCGGTGCTCGCGTCTGTAGTGACAGCATGTTCTGGTTGAAACGAAAATATCCCTTCAACCCTAAACTGCGGCATGGAAGAGTACTGTTCCACGTCGTCTGTGTTGCCATACACGTGTTCAGGGTATGTGGGCTGGGAGGGCAAGCCAAGAATCTCATCAATGGCGCGTGGTGCGGGCTCAGACAAGTCTGGCGAAGCTGTCAGTTGAGGAGAGATCGTTCTCCGCGGCGGAGTGGTGGAGCCGGCCCTGGGATATCTCGGCACAGGTCGAGAGAAGTTCTCAAAGACGCGCGATTCTCTTCTGGCCCGATGATCGTGCTGTTTCGGACTGATTGAAGATGAAACGCCTGGAGAAGCTGGTGGGCTTGTCGGAGTCGGAGAAGTTCGGTGCTCTGCAATAGCTGCCCCGCCATCTGTGAGATCCTCCGATGAGAAGCCTTGAAAATGGAGATCGTCTGCCCGAATGCCCTTGAGTCCCGTCATCGGTCTCTGAGAGGCACGAATGGCGGAAAATTCGGTGACAATGTCATTTTCTCTGGCTTTATCCAGCGCCTGAAATTGGGACGGACTCGTATGAGTCAGATGGTGGAAATCAAAGGGATTGGAAATCAGGCTCTTCAAATGTTCTTCTGTATACCAATGTTACCGAGGGAGTCAATTTGAAGTCTCTTCCTCTCTGGCGAATATTACCCTGGGGGGGCTTTGACTTACGGGCATTACTTTGTCGCGTCTTGTGGTGGCGACTGAAGATCTCTGAGACCTCGAAACGCGACTTCTCGCGTTCTACTTCATCCTCCTCGTCGAGAGTGGCAGCGATATTGAACTTGCTTCCCTGACGGCGCAGAATACGGCTCCCCCGTGAGAAGAGTGATTTGGTCATACTCTCATGCCTCTCATGCCTGTCCGACCGAATACCTGCCGAGGAGCTGGCTCGGTCTTCACTGGAGTAGGGCAATGAAGCAGCGTCAGCAGAAGTCATAGAGGAAGCGGGCGAGCGGCGGGAGGATGAGGTAGAGGTTGAGGTATTGCTCCTGGATCGACCACTGAAGACAGAGAGGCGTTTGGGACTGTGAGCATGAGCGGTTGATTTTGAACGGATGTGGGCTGTATAGTCCGGGGGATCATTGGAAGCTCTGGTGGATGGCCGGTCAGAGAGATCCGCCTCTTCTTGCCTTGCAAGCATGGTGGGACAGTGAGATAGATGGATCCCGATAACAAGACGATCTTTTGTGCAGGTGGACTGCAACGAGGCGATGGTTTGCGATCAATAGAGTGAGAATGGCAAAGCCAGGAAGTTCATCAATCAAGCACTCAGAGGGGAAGATGCTGTTCAGTTGTTGACCTTGGAAAGGGATTAATTCCCCTTAAAGTCGAGGACGGGTTGTGAGCGAGATCCAAGATCGACCAGAGCATATAAAGCGGATCTGTGTTGGGAGACCAGGGACTCCAAGCGAGCCATTGACTCGTGCGAGACTGGAGAGGGAGAGGGAGAGGGGTGCAACGGTGATTGTTTCCCCTTGTGTTTTAGAAATGTATCGGGTTCAGGAGACAAGTGAGTGGCATGGAACTCTAACACGAAGTATCAAGAGAGATCTTGCAACAAAAATTGGGCCAGAGACCAGCAGACAGAACAAGCTGTGAGTGAATGAATGACAGAATGAAAAAGATTGTGGACTAATGAGCGGTTCACTGATCGATCATCCAGAGGAGCAGTGTATCGAGGTTATGTTGTGTCGGAGGACAAGGATGGCTTTCAGCCCACAAAAAAAGAAGACGACCCAAAGGGATTGGAATAATAATGATTGAGGGTGGAGTAAGAGATGGAGAAAGATGGACCGAAAAATCTCAGATTTGAGGGTCCAGAACGGCGAGTAAAAAATAGTAGCAGTGGAGGATGATGAATAACGATAGTAGGAGGAGGAGCAGGAGCAGGATCTAGCAGTAAGATCATATAACGACACTAGGTACTTGTCATCTAGACACTCCGTAGACACTCCATAAACAAATAAGATGAAATCAACACGGACAGGAGCACGGAGTAGCAGATATGATGATTGTGACGATCATAAGAAACGAACGACGCGAACGCTCCTACTACGACCAGGTAGGCTAGTACGGAGTGGTAGTTAAACCACTAAAGTACCTAACTTACCTAGTATCCTAACCGAAGCAGTGTAAAGCGTAAACAACAATGTAAAATAGAGTCTTTTGGGTCTAGAGGGGGGGGAAAGAGGAAGGATTAGATTAAACGATCGAGTCCATTTGATGATACTCCGTAGACTACACACGCTGGGGTCCGGGGAGATTCACGGAGGACAAGAACACTAAAAAATAAGAAGTTTAGACTGCGATATATATCTGGAGTCATCAATTTATTATGTATTAACATTGTCGCGATCGTTTCGTAGATAGCATAGAGGAGGCTAGATACTTCGAATTAGGGACGTACTTCGCAGTTACCACCCGATGTAAGGTACCTAGCTTCCCTGCTTCTTACGGAGGAGGCTGGCTTGACTCCTATTTTGCTTTTGATACAGAGTAAGTCCGGATAAATGATGATAAGCCAATAGCCCACGTTCTCACCGTTGAAAAGCTACAGTAGGAAGGAAAGGGGGTAGGGGGAAAAATTAAAATTAAAATTAACTGCAAGACGAAAAAGCAAAAACATCGGCCAGTTGGAGTCTTGAATTTCCAGAAGGCAGAACGAAAATGGGAAAGAAAGGCACGAGAGGGGAGTCCACTTAGGGGACGAAAAGTAAAAGCCAAAATGCCACCCCCCGTCCCTCCCCTTCCCTTCCCTTCCCTTGCCCCCAACAAATAGATAATTTCCCTGCAGCTAGCTGGTTAGCCTGGTCTACTCCATGTACACTGTTATAGCTCATTTACAGCCTCATGCCTCAGTATATTACTACATATCTATCCATGGGTGCCACCTAACGAGTACCTGACACATTTAAAGTACGGATACTCCGTACATACAGCAGCAATACCTTCATGCGTGGATATCCGCATGACTCCGTGAAGCTCCCTCCAACTACCTACCTTCGTTACCCAATCTTTATGCCTAAGTAGGTACCTAGCTAGATATTGGTAGTTGGCTATTGGTGGTATCTCCAACAACCGGATAGGTGCTTACTGTAGCTATTCCGTACCTCGGTAGGTACAGGATATTGACTCAACTGATCTCAAAGCAAATCCCATTATCCTCGTCAAATCATTGTAGCAGTCTCATTGCAAGGACAACTCAAGACAGCGAGTGTCCGCCAGGTGAGTCCGTGAGGAGCCCAATATCTAGATTCGGAGTACTACACAGGAATTACCGTGGGATGAGGGACGATCCCACCTGTTCTCTGTTCAGACCAGCAGTCTGATAAAAGGATTGGCTCCGTCAAGCCCCCGAACGATTCTGGAATTGGAGGCTCCATTTCCATCCAGTCCAGAAACTCGGGAGCATCCTTCCGGATCATGGCCAATAAATGATGCACGGAGTCAACATACAAGGGCACCTACAGACGTATCTGAATTTATATAATCGGCAGCTGCAAAATGCAAAGCTTGCAAATGGTAGGATCTTTCTTATGCACAGACATTTTCAAGGTCCACAACTTTTTGTCGTCAGGGCGGCTTGTCCCGTGTGTGCTGATCGCATCGCAATTTGGATATTGAACGGCTTCTCAAAGCGGCTGGTGTGTCCGATACCCTCTTTTAGGCTCTGCAGAATCCAGATACTTCGTGGAGGAGGCAGACGAACCATGGCACAAAAGAAGAGGCGGCCAGCCAGTCTGCAGAGTGGGATACCTGCATAAAGGGGCCGAAGGCTGGCCTGTCTACTACTACATACACATCAAAGAGGCTAGAAATGTATGTGAAGTCTCAGAGCAGTCTGCAGGGATATACTACAGTGCACCAAGTACCTAGATATCTCGAAACATTGATGTTGGCGGGAGATGCTGCAAACTGAAGCGCAATTCTGGAGTATCTACACTGTGCTTGACGTAATCAAAGTCCGTACCTTCACAGAGTACACACAAATTGTATCTTCCTCTGAGGTATCGCGCGACCCGGTGGAGTTTTGGCTTTTTATTTTTTTGCTTTTTTTTTTTTGGGAGCGTTTCGAGAGGAAAGAGGCCCACCTCGCAGAGAAAACGGAAAATGGATGAGGCAGAGTGACGGCCCGCGGATATCTAGGAGATCGACAAGCCTTAGCAGTGAATTGAGAAGGAGGAGACGATGAAAGAAACAAGCAATACTCTGTATTTAGGTGCTTTGCAGTCTTGTAGATAGGTATTCTAAGTCTGGGGTAACGGACATCCAACATGAAAGTAAAGCCACAATAAACTGGACAAGCAACAAAGCTCATTGTTAGGCCAGCGGAAACATTGTTTGGGGTTTCCCCATGTTCCGTACCTACCTTAGGGAGCTCCGAACAAGGGAGCGAAGCACATGTAACAATCAACCATGGCTGGGCAACAGATGACACCTGCCTAATCAAGGGGCGCCAGCACTACCCGGTACCATGGTGCCTGAGGCCACATATGCATAATCATACGGGTACAATACTTGTACCTAACGTTGTGATGGGAAATCTACCCACGTACAGGTAGCGTGCTTGTCACTTGCAGGTAGTGGTCAGACAACCTTTGAACAGTTATCAATTGTTCGAATCTTGGGATTCTCGCGTACGGTATTAATATTGAGCGTTCATTTGTAAAGAATTAATATACAAGATCAGTCCTGCGCCACGGGACGCCAACACTCTCAAGATCCCAGCACAGAACGATTCGCAACCTTCGTTCCCTTTAGTCGATCGGAGTTGGGACGCGGCGGATTCTCCGTACTGCGGATTATCTTGACTACAGAGGACTGTTGGATTCACTTAGGCTGAGACTGGTTCACTTTGAGAGACTTTACATTACATTAACCCCATGAGGGCATCTGTGATTGTCCAATTATTATTGACTAGTAGGGTTGGTGAATCGGTTGGTGAATCAAACTTTGGGAGGAATTCGGATCACTAGAATGTAGTTATTAGTCCCTGACTTGACCGAGTTTGGGCAAGCCTGGAGCGAAGGAGTTAGTGACACACGGGACAGGCACAAAACGAAGTCGGCATTCTACCTGTTCACATTTCAGACAAGAGAGAGGACCGAGGGCCAAACTCTTAAGGCGCTTTAGTGCCGCACTACTCATGCAACTAGTTTAGTGTCTACAGTCAAACCATTAGCGGCCGATTGGGTGCAGGTTATACGGAGTAAGCCCTAAAGAATTAATTTAAGTCGCAGAGATACCTAGGTAAGGTAAAGTAGATACCTTAGCAAGTGGCAAAAGATCGAACCAGACATTTTAGATCGATGTAGCAAAGCCATGTATCATGCGATAGAGACAGGGGTAGAGGGACTACTACATGGATGTGTCAAGTGTTGATATGGTACGAGGGACGTCAACGCGTTCTTCATATCAGCTAGCTATCCATGGATGTGATTCGTCTGGAATGCCCCGACTCCAGAAGATAACGGTTCGCTCTCCCTAGTTGATGGAGCAACGGGACGATAGAGCGAATTGCGATACGTACCACACAGTTAGGATCCAAGGGACGAATTGTTGTTGAGACTATCCTAATGAAACCTCTTGGATTCTGGAATCCGGACAGAATGTTCAATGAAATGCGAGTATCCTTGTCAAGTTGTGTGTTCAGAAGGAGAAAACCACCCATCTCTAGGTAGTGTACCGAGGACAGTTGAGGTTAGAACTACATACCCCGGACTCTCCAGCCACCCATGTAACTATTGGGTGCACTGTTCCGTCCGACAGGGCACTATCCATTAGTGTCATGATTATTATCACTCCTAGAAAGTAACACGTTGCGGTTCCTGTAACTGTAAGCGAGATCGCATCTGAAAACATCCCGAGTATTGAAGTTCCAACCGAGTTCGAGGGTATCAAATATTAATATCGGCTCTAGTCGGTATCTTCAATTCTCTTGTTGAGATAGCTAGACCTCGGGTAGATTCAAATACCAGGCAGACAGGAATCTCCATTGAAACCTAAGACATGTGTGCATGTCCCACCTGCAGGAGGATGGATCATGGCTGTAGTTTGCCCTCTGTAGCTGTCTAGATCACAGATGCTTCTATTCATGTCTCATTTCGCTTGCCTAGTTACTCGGCGAGTCAGAGGTCAGTC